AGAGAACTAACATTATTTCACATAAACAAGGTACGATGAGACGAGGTCACATTAAAGTTTGTTAATATTATTTTTGGACAAACTAAAAAAAATGAATAACTCTCATCTTTTCGAATGGTGAAAAAGATTCTATTATTAAATTAATCCCGCTTCCCTCTCTCTCTCTTTCTCCTGTTGGTATAATACAAATCATAGAACGTTTTTATGATATGCCTGATTAAATGAACTTTTATGTAATCCATAATAATCTACTGGAGAAAGTTATATTATAGGTTAAATAAACTTTACAGGTCGAAAGCCAATATTTTACACATACATGTAGAAGGATCCAACTCAAAGTGATATAAAAATATACTCAAAAAGAGACAAACAATCTCCAAAGTGGTTGTAGAAAATTAATTTAACTCCTTTGTGGAGGAGAAGGTATAAACCTACAAGATTTGCCCTGATTCGGGAACTCCCTTCGTTTCTATGCAGGTTATGATTTTCCAAAATGTCAAGTGTTTGTGGAAGCCGAAAATACAGGGTGAAATGAAAAAACTGCAACCAAGTTCGGACTGCTGTCGATTCTAAGCCACTCGTCCGGCAGCTGTTAAAATTATTCCAGTGATAGCTCATCATATTGTTTACAAGTGTGCAAAAGCATTTTTGGGGAGAATTTTCCAGAAAAAGTTATTCGTGATGAAATTCTAGGGTGATTTCTTTTTATTTGGCTGGAAAACCACAAGTGGCTATGGTTAGAGCACTCCAGCATTTGAATGTGAATAAATCTTTTGTGTCTCGAACGATCGTTCGTTACCGTGATACTGGTAGCATAGCCTAACGTCAAGGAAGTGGACGGAAGAAAACAGCAACATCAGCGGAAATGGTTGGAAAAGTAAAGAAACGAAACCCGCCTCGCAGTGGCCGAAAAATGGCTCGTGAGCTGAACTTATCGCAATATTCCATTCGGCGGCAAATATTGAAAAATGAGCTCGGGGTAAAGCCATTGAAATTCCAAAAAGTGCAAGGACTTACACCGCAACATGAAGAAAATAGACTCAAAAGAGCTAGACAGTTGCTTCGCTTGGCCGAGAGTGGTGAGCTATCGAATTTGTTTTTCTCCGATGAGAAAACATTCGTTGTCCCGCAGTTTGTAAACAAAGAAAATGATCGTGTTTACTTGCCAAAGAGGTCAGCTGAAAATGTGTACCTTCGGTTGGCCACCAGAACTCAAGCCTCAAGCCGGTCATGGTGATGGTGTGGGTTGCCATAACAGCCGATGGTCTCTTTCCGCTCGAATTAATCGACCGTGGCATCAGAATAAATGCCGAATATTTTCGCGAAAATATTCTGGAGGATGTATAAAAGCCTTGGGCACGCAAGCATTTTGGTCGGAGACCTTGGACATTCCAACAGGAATCAGCACCGTCGCACTCAGCACGCGCCATCAAATATTGTGATGTGTGTAATTTGAAGAGAATAAGATTCTTATTTCGGATTTTATGATCGTTTTGGTTATTTAAAACATTGACCCTTTGTGTGGGAGGTACCAGAAGGAATGATCCAATCTCTATCATCTTTATAACAGACCTTGTGTCTATGGAAGTATTGAGATGTGCCAAGTCCGAATGGAATCGGATGTTAATTTCGTGTTTTATGAGCTTCATGAATATTCAAAATTATGACCCTTTTGTGGGAGGTACCGGAAGTAATCGACCGATACATTCCATCTTTACACCAGACCGTGGATTAATAAAAACATTGTGATTTGTGTAATTTGAAGACAATCGGACATTTACATCAAATTTTAAATAATAAATAATTATTCAAAAATTTGAACCTTTGTGGGATACTCCCTTCGAGAGTTATCGTGCGCACAATCCAGCCAGAAAGACGGACGGACATCGCCAGATCGATTCCAAATGTCCTGAAATGGATTTGGTCCAAAGAGACCTAGGATCTAAAACGGTTATTTCGACTAGGCACGTTTTGGCCGTATTAAAAAATATATATACCCCATGTAGCCATACGGCTGAGGGTATAACAAATAATCTCCAAGGCGGTTGTAGAAAATTAATTCGAATCTCATCCAAGATTTGGACTGTAATTGGGGGCTTTTTTAGTTTATATGCATTTTGTTATTCGCCAAAATGTCAAGAATTTGTGGAAGCCGAATATAGTGAATCTTCAATCTTGAAAAGTTCCTGTAGCGATTTTGATACAAGTATCTGTATGGTACGGGAGGCTTAAACACTTTGAATGTGTCATATTTTAAACTAGATGCAGTTGTAAACAACATGCAAATAAGAGGCATTAAGCCAGGCTGGGTCAAACTTGTTGCACCCTCCACCATTGGAATGATTGAAGCTGAAACGTTTGATTTCCAAATCTCTAAAAATTGTAGCCACCATTACAATATACTCATGCAGGGAACAACCGATTACTTTTGAGAAGATTTGGCAGGAAAATTCTAAAATTTTAAGAGCGGCTTAAGTTGCTTATTTCGATTGTAACAGCTTAATTTTGATGATATTCGGGCATATAATTTATTTTCAGTTTTGACATGGTGGTGTCTATTCTGGCTTTCCAAAATATATAAGGATACGTTCGAACTTGTTGGTACTAGTGCATCCTATTCTATTCCAGTGCAATCACAAAGGGGATGCCCCTTCAGAACAAATAAGTTTTCTTTCTCATATTTTTTTCTTCTTTTCAGCACGTCCTGCCTCCTCCTTTTCAAATAGCTAGCTGGTGAATATCAACAATTTTAACTCTGCAATCTACCTGCAATATACTATTCCCTCAAACACATACACACAATGACCGACCAACCGACGAATGTTCAACACCCGACATTGCTGCTACCAACAGCCTGCTGCTAGCCTGTGCCTATCAACCTCACACACACAAGGGGCACGGAGGAGAAAATAGAGATGGCAACACGGCAAAAAAAGTTCCAACAAGAATAAGTCATCGGCAAAAATTGTATAGAAAATTACGTCATCGTGTCGTCATATGAAAAAACGACTAAAATATAACGCAAATTGTTCATTAATTGCAACTCATACACAACGAAATAGCAATAGAACAAAACTAATTGTCAACAACATGGTTTGCAATTATGAATATAACACGCTTTTGCAAAAAAAAAATCAATTCCGGCACAATTCACACATAATTTCTTCTTTACAGCGTTCTTCTATTCACACACATATAGATTCTTTCTTCGTCTCTTTCTCACACTTTCAACAGAATACATTTTCGGAAAAAAGGTGAGAACTTTTCTCCTACAATTTTGCAAAATTTGTTTTTCTTTTCGTTTTGTTTTCATTGAATCACTTGAATTTGTTAATAATTTTAATGGATTTTCAGAGTTCTTTCAACTCACCCAGTCAAAATTGTTTGTTAATTAGGTGCGGTAGAATTACACTCCACAAGAAATTCACAGACCAAATTCGCTACAAAGAACAAAGTCAATGGAGTTTATTTACAAACGGCGTCGCATTTGTCATAATTGATAACAGAGGGCGCCTTTTTCATTTATAGATAGGTAACATTAATTAAAAGCGTTCATGCGTAGTAAGGTGGGATCACACTATTTAAGAGGCATATACTCAAGCAAATTGTTTTCCATATATCCATATATTTTAACACAAAATTGATCTAAATTTACATTGGCCAAGCATGGCAGAAGAATACAGTTAGATTCATTAACACTCAAAAAATTCACAAAATATCTAAAAATAACTGCAAAAATAATTGAATTTGAAAATATTTTCTTATACGATGCCGTTCAGAGATTTTTATGATATGCGATTTTCAACAAATTTCACTAATCAAAATAATTTTTCTATCAATTTAAAAAATTTTAAAAATGAATTGACAGTTCATTGTATCATCAGCTGGGTTGATGCGCCTACTATAATTTTATCATGTGTTCAAGTCTGTGTTTGTCGGAGAGAGAGGTAAGGGGAATGAAATAAAAAAATGAATGAAAATGAAATGAAAACCTTTTGTGTTTTTGTTATTTTATTTTTTTTTTTTTTGTATTTTGTATTATATAACAGTTATAGGAAAGAAAATAGAGAAAAATTAGCAATTCTGAAAAATAATTACTTTATATTAATGTATGAAACAACTGAAATTAGGACGATAACAATTGCCGCAAGTAAATTCTCGTAGTCTACATTAGTTCTAGTGTTAATATCAGTTAAGGTGCAAGTACATAAAAAGCTTGAAGTTATGGCTAGGCATATTAATGTCCTGTCGACGACAGGATTTTAGTGCGGCTCTATAATCCCTTTATGAAATGTCACAAAATATGCCTAGCCATGACTTCAAGCTTCTTATGTACTTAAGGTGGTGGTACAGAAGCAGCATGGTATCATGGCTAGGCATATCAATGTCAAAAAATAAAAGGAAACGACGGCAGAATTCGAGTGCGGCTCTGACATCCCTTTGTGATATGTCACAAAATATGCCATGTGAAGCTGTGTATGTACTCTCACCCTTCTACCTTCAGTCCTGATTTATAGCCTGTTTTTGCAACAATTTTTTTTCTTTCGTTTGGAAATTTGGCGAAAGGAAATATATTTTGTGTTTTTGTAGTACTTGTTTTTTTCCTTCAGTGACAAACCTAAGAAAGCTTTCCCCCTTCTATTTTTGGTTTTTGTAACGAAAAAATACAAACGAAAATGTCTGAAAACGATAAAATGATTGCCCTTATTTTGAACAGAAATTGACCCTATGTTAAAGAATCACGCAAAAATTGTATACGCATGATGGGGAATAAATATATATACTGGTCCAAATGTTTTCTCGACATTTTTCAATTTTATTTTACAATTTTTTATAAATTTTGAATTTATTGGGGTTGCCAGAACAACTCCTAAAACGAATACGTTTGAACACGAATGATTCGAGTGAAAGCAAATTTTTTTTACAAAAACAGGCTGTTAACTAATGGAGTTTATTTCTATTTGGAAATTCATTCATTATTTCAATAATGTAAAAAGGTATTACAAAACTCATTAATATATTTATCCTTGACAACATAAAAACTTAGATAGCAAATATACATTTAAATATTATAACGAAAACAAATACGTTTACGTCTCTCTAACTGAATTTCGTGTATCGGGACGTATTTCTAAAAGAACTGCATTTGCAATTTTCGGTTGCTCTGAGTTGCTCTCTTACTACTCACTGTCCGAAGACGATTCACTGCTTTCATCACCCTGCTCCAAAAGAGCTTTAAATTCTTTGACTTTAATTTTCTGTGGTATTATTTGCAGCAGAAAAGCCAAATTATCGTTTTCCTGTACCAAATCTGCTAGATGATTGTATGTTAAGTTGTTGGGTTTTTTGGCGTGCTGGTAAGATTCCTTGGCAAAATGTTTAAGAAACATTTCCTACAGACAAAGAGCAATGCATGTTATATTTAGTTTATAATGCACAACAATATGATATCTTACCGTTGATTTTGTCATTAAGAAGAGTACTTCATTAGTTACTTGGCCAGTGTCCACAGAACTTTTCATTATGGCCCGAATTCGTGTATGAGGAAGTTCAGTCTCCATTTCTATAGTTTTTCCAATGTAAAATGTGTGTAAATTTAGCGCGTATTTCTCGCTTGGATTACAAGTTGTTTATGACCCGGCTGTTTGATGTATCAAAACAAACAACCTCTTGCCAAAATGAGATGTAAGCCCATTGCCGTCCTAGTAATACTTTGCCGCCGTTATAAAGGACTGTTTAGAAATTAGTACCTAGCGTAACGTAAAGTATACCAGTGAAGTTTGGAAAGGAAATGTTATATTTAATAGAAAATTGTAACAAAATAAAGTACAAAAGGTAATGAAAATGTAATAATAATGCAAACACTTATTTTGCGTTGTAATTGTTGTGAAACATTAGTAAACATGGCAAGTGATTTAAACGTACACAGACAACAAAGCCAGATGATTTTCACAGTGAAGGCGGCATTTCGCTGTTTATTGGCACTGTGGATTATTTCGGCATTGCACAAATAAATATTAATTTTGTGTATTTTTAAAAAACATAAAAAAGAAATAGTAATATTGACAGCATTAAACTTAATCCACTTAAATAAACGCCATCCCAATTCTTTTAAAAGCGACGCTTCATTAGTAGCAGTCGACTCGCTTCAACATTCTTTTGTTTTGATTACTGATTTTTATCGTATATTTTCTTTTCTTGGGAAACATTTTTGTTGGCCAAGAATCAACGTTTCATTGCTGAAGATGGATCAGAAAATTAAAGTGTTAGTTTCTACATCTTTGTGAAATATTTGACAAGTATTGCTGTTGAGCATCATGTGTTGTTCGTAGCATCCGTTATATTCCCGCCAAAATGCGTGGCATTTCATATGCGAGGATTAAAACTAGATGTGTTCCAGTAGGGTATTTTAATATTCCTATATTTTTCAACAATATATTGTTTCTTTTTCAGTTTAGTATGTGGAGATGTTCGAGGACGTTTCAAGCAAATGTTTCAGCGCGTCGAAAGCATCAACAAAAAAGCGGGGCCCTTTGAAATCCTTTTATGTGTGGGGGACTTCTTTTCCGAAGATGAAAAACAAAATGAGGAGCTCATTGCCTATAGGAATGGACACAAACACAGTAAGTTCGCAATGATATGAAGTGGAAACGAAAGTTTTAACAAAACCTCTTCTATTTTTTCAGTTCCTGTTCCAACATACATTTTGGGGCCGAATAATAAAAATGTCCAAGCATATTATGAAAATACCCAAGATGGGGAAATTTGTAGCAACCTTACATATTTGGGTAAACGAGGTCTCTATACTCTATCATCGGGGGTCAAAATTGCTTACATTAGTGGTTTAGAAAGGCCGGCAGGTGCCACTGAGCAAGAATTCTATTTTGGTCTGGATGATATTGAGGCGGTGAGAAACTCATGCCTGGTCAATAAATCATCTGCTTCCGATTATCGTGGTGTTGATATTTTATTAAGCTCACCATGGCCCCATGGAATAACGACAAATGATGGACAAGAGGTGAGCCTAAGGTTATAAATGTACATATTGACATGTGTTTTAACGTTATTTCCATTTTAGAACAAAAACACATCTAAACTGCTGTCATTTTTATGCCGTGATATTAAACCTAGATATCATTTCTGTGCAATGAGCAAGAAATATTTTGAACCTGCACCTTACAGGTAATGTGGATAAAATTAGATATTTTAACATTGCCAATTATTACTCCTAAATTTTCATGAATATATTGCAGATTGCCCTCCGATCAAATAACACAATTGGAATTGTGTACACGTTTCATATCACTTGCCGATGTGGGCAATGCAGAAAAAGAGAAATACATTTATGCCCTAAGCTTGACACCGGTGGAAAAAATGCGTGTAATGGAACTAATTCAGAAAACCACCATCGAAATTAAGTGTCCATTTGCCGATCTCAATTTTAATGATATAAAATTAAAGGGTGATGCGGTAAATATATTCCATTTATGCAGAATTTCAAATTTGAAAAAATAATGTTTTTTTTTGGTTAGACTGAGAGCAAACAGTATTTCTTTGATATGGAATCCAAAAACGATAGAGGGAAATGTTTTAGCGGTGGCAACGATCGCCAACATAAAAAGCCCAAGGTGCAGCAATGGGACCAAGGTATGTGGCAGAAAAGCTAAGCTGACATTATGATTAACACTTTCGCCCCTAGAAATATGTTGGTTTTGCTTATCTTGCCCAAGTGTGGAGAAACATTTGATTATTACAATCGGTACCCACTTTTATTTGGCCCTTGCCAAAGGACCAATTAATGATTATCACATACTATGCTGTTCCATCAATCACATACCATGTGCTGCTCAACTAACCGAAGAAGATTGGAAGGAATTGTTGCGTTTTAAAAAAGCCCTGAAGAAATTCTTTAAAGCACAAAACCAGGTTGTCTGTTTCACTGAAAGAAATTATAAAACTTCACATTTGCAAATTAATGTTTTCGCATTGGATGAGGGTCTGGCCTGGAAGATACCACACGCATTTGAGGATAAATCTGAAGAATTCAATTTGGAATTTGAAACAATACCTCAATTGGCTGATTCTCAGATGTTGCCACAACAGGGACCATATTTTGTAGCGGAGCTGCCAAATGATACAACATTGATTACAAGGCAAATGAAACATTTTCCAATACACTTTGCAAGGTGAGTTGATGTTGAAATTTTTTAAATGGGCTCTAATCGGGTTTCCACCAATAACGTAGTTGAATTCGTTATGGTTTAAAATGGGATAAGAACTTTTAAAATGTCAATAATTGTTATCTAAAATTATATGGCAGTGGGGTCAAATGCTAGTTCTTTTGAAATAAGTCAGACCAGGAGGTATATTTCGACTTCGGTAATAGAATATACTCCGAACACTTGTTAAAACCTTAAAAAGGCTTATAATAGAAGAAACAATTTATATGTTGGACCCACCAAAACGTGGCCAATATTCCAATTTAAAATTGAAAATAAAATATAATTGCAGGGCGAGATTCTGTCCATTAAATAAATAATATAAAAATTTGTTTCTTGGCTTCAACTGTAATATAAATTAAATGAAAATAGGTACGTCTTCAATCACCTCAGCAAATCAGAAATTTAAATAAAGATAATAATCGGCTGTACTACAACTTCAGGAGTTGATATAGGCCTATACCCGATTTGAATAGGGAATATGTGGCTGAGTTAATGTCAGATATTGCAAAGATGTCTGTCTTTAAAGGGGCTTTATATATTACAGACCTTGTTGTGGTTTTCTATCTATAAAAGCCCACACTAGTTTTTTATCTATAAAACCCCGAGTAAGTCCTTTTGTTAAAAGAACAGTTTCATTATTTTCAGAATAGGTCTGGACCCCCTCTCTATTAAACTAAACTAAAACTATTAATAATTATTCTTTTCAATTATAAAAATGGAAACCACTCCCCAGCCCTGTTTTTTTTTAAAGATGACTGATTATCATTTAATTTTTCCCCATTACAGAGATGTTTTCTGTTCAGAAAATCTTTTGAACTGTGACGAAAAAGTCGACTGGCGAGCATGTAAACTAGATATGGACGCTGAAAAGGATTTAGTTAAAAATTTTAGAGAAAAATTTGCAAAATATGATTTTACATCGTAGAATTAGATAAAAATGTGTTCGCGCTATATTTTATGTCGTTGTACAAAACGTTTCGCTAAACAATAAAAATAATTAAAATATTACAACTAATAGATCTTAAAACTATAAAATTAAGACAACAACAAAGGGGTTTCGACTATTTTTTTTTTTTCGTTTGGCGATCGCTTAATTAGGCATCACGCTGATAGATTTTATTCAGGATCTGTAAAAAGATGCCATGTGGAACACCACGTGATGTTTGTTGGATATGAGTTTTAATCATATTATATGATTCTTCTTCGTAGATGGCATAGGTGTTGGGTAGACCCAGACTTTTGTAAAGGTTTTTGACTTTTTGGGTCTTTTCCGGATCTAAGAAACAACAAAACAAGGCAATTTAATTATTTTCTTTTTGCATTCTTAGAATGAATGTTACTTACCATTTTGTCCATAGCAATCCAACATAATTTGTTTTTGTTCCTCGTTGGCCCTTTGCATACAGACCACCGCCAGCCAGGAACATTTGTTGTCCTGAATGTCTGTACCAATTTTCCCTGTTATTTCTGGATTACCAAAACAATCCAAGAAATCATCTTGTACTTGAAAGAAATGCCCCATTTCCAGTAATATGGTTTTCGATTGCCGAAAAGCTTCGGGATCCTTTATGCTGCAGGGAGAGGGAAAAATGTATTACTTGTAGACCTTGTAGAATATTCTCAATTTCCCCCAACATACCCCGCTAAATGCATAGCCAATGCAAATGGCAAATAGAATGTGTAATAGGCCGTCTTATTCGCCACAGTTGCATTATATTTTTCCATGCTAAACGACAAAACATCGTTATTGGCATTCAACAGATCCAGGCTTTGACCACATGTTGTGATAAAGGTTATCTCATGGAACAATTCGATTAAATCAATATAAGAATCCAATGATCTAAAATGTTTCTTGAGCAGTGAGTATAGGGCATTTTCCATCATCAGGGCATCATTCAATGCAATCAGCCCAACTTGTGGTACCTTATGCCAACATGTTTGCCCCCGTCGGGTAGAACTGTTATCCATCACATCATCGTAAAGCAAAAAGAAGCTGTGTAATATTTCAATACACCAACCTAATATTTGAGCTCGTTTGATATTTTCCGTTGTAAGATCTTCAGATTTGACCAGATTTTTATATGTCAATACAGTGAGTAGGCCACGATTTAATTTGCCATGGGGCACATTGTATTCCAGAGCCTGTGCGAAAAGAAAGACATGTTTAAGTTTTAAAAATTTATAAAAAATACATTGAGAACTTACACGGGCAAACCAAGCAGAAATTTCTGCAGGACTATATTTGTTTGTTATTTCCACCAGTTCGTTAACAATTTCTAGGAAAAAATTAATGAATGAAAATGGAATATTGCAGAAAAACTAAGGAACAAAAAGTGCAACTACACAAGATTCTATGGGAAATAAGTAAAAAGGCTGTAAATACCCCCTAACATTTGGAACTAATTTGGAAATTTTCAAAGAATAAAATCCGTTAAAACTTCTGTTAAAATCTTAAAAAAATGGCCACTATATTAGGGTCTATACGACAAGGTGGACCTGCATAGGCAACTTTTGTCATAAGCCATTACAAAATTCAAATACGAAACTTGAAAAAAATCGGTGAATAATGTAGCTAAAATCATCAAAATACCGAATATCGGGATGTGCCGTTATATGGGGGCTATGCCAAAACATGGACATGCACAGACAATTTTCTGTCATAGGCTGTAGTATCCATTACGAACTTCAGATACCAAATATGAAACAATTGCGGTGAATAATGTCGCTAAAATCATCAAAATACTGAATATCGGGAAGTACCGATATATGGGGGCCATACGAAGACGTAGACCTGTACAGACAATTTTCTGTCATAGGCTGTAGTATCCATTACGAAGTTTAAATATCAAATTTCAAACATTTCCGGTGAATAATGTCGCTAAAATCATCAAAATACTGAATATCGGGAGGTACCGTTATATGGAGGCTATACCAAGACGTAGACCTCCACAGACAATTTTCTGTCACAGGCTGTAGTATCTGTTGGGGCAACCCACATTAACAATATGGCATCTCATATTGCAACATCCTATACGGCAACGCCCATATAATAGGACGCCGTGCTACCGCCATTTTAGCTTGCTCAGTCTTGTTTTGTCTGTCACTCGAGTCTGACTCACTACATTGTAACTTCTACATTCTTTTTAAATTAGTAGCTGTGAACGCTCATCATCCAATAAATCTTTACACCTTTAGTATTAACAAACATTGGCTTTTATTTCAAACTATAAAAGTACAACAAAAGTGGCGACGAGGATAGTGGAAATTGATCAATAATTGCACACACAACAATCCGCAAAAATGTCTCAAGACATAATTCTACAATTGTTAACAGAGCAACAAAAAGCAATGTCGCAACAAACGCAACTGCTAAAGCATATGGCTGATCTTCTTCAAGCACAAGGAGCACCAAATTCACCACACTCACCACAAACATCAAATTCATCCAAAGCAGCACTAATGGAATCACTAGCACAGTCAATGACAGCATTCGTATACGAGCCAGAGAGCGGTCTGATATTTCAAGCGTGGTACAACAGGTTTGTGCATGTTTTCGAAAAAGAAGCAAGCTCACTCGAAGAACATGACAAAGTGGCCTTGTTATGGAGAAAAATGTCGAACCAAGTACATGAAAGATTTGCCAACTACGTATTACCAGCAAAACCTGAAGACATGACTCTAAAGGATACAGTAGAGAAACTCAAGAAACTCTTTGGTAAAACAGAAACACAAGTCTCACAAAGATACAAATGCCTTCAGCTAGCAAAAGGCGACAGCGAAGATTTCAGAGAATACGCAAGCAGAGTAAACCTACAATGCGAACTATTCAAAATGAAAGAACTGAAAATCGACCAATTCAAATGTCTCATTTTCGTCTTAGGACTCAAGTCAGCAAAGGACAACGACATAAGACTTCGCTTACTAAAGGTACTGGATGATGAAAACACTACAATGAACCTAGATCAACTAGTAGACGAAACACAACGAATTCTAGATCTCAAATCGGACAACATTCTCATTGAACATCAATCAAAAATCGTCTGTTCACTCAACAAGCACGCAAAAGACTTTAAGAAGCACAAAACACCCAATTCACCCTGTTGGTATTGCGGAGACCTTCACTACGTCAAATTTTGTCCTTTCCAGAAACATAAATGCACAACATGCAATCAAGTGGGTCATAAAAATAACTTTTGCAACATCGCTAAGACTGGTAAGAATTTCAAATCATCGTCTGAAAACAACCAGAACGAATTCAAGAAATACAGCAATTCAAGGAAATCATTCAAAACTAAGGCAGTTTTCAAAACACACAACATTAATTTCCGCGACTTAAGGAAATACACAACTGTCCTAATTAACAACAATCCTGTAAAACTTCAAATTGATACTGCATCAGACATATCAATTGTATCTATCAACACATGGAAAGCTATAGGTAAGCCTGAAGCCTACGAAACTTTTGACAACGCTAGCGACGCAAACGCAAACTCAATCAAGCTCCTAGCAGAATTTCAATGTGACGTCACAATCGACAAAACATCAAAAACATTAAAATGTTATATAACAGATATAGAAAAACTCAATATCATGGGAATCGATTGGATTCAAGCATTCAATCTATGGCAGAAACCAATAACCTCATGGTGTCATCAAATAAACTTCGTTGATGAAATAGCAGAATTGAAAACGAATTATCAATCAGTTTTTGATAACAGTACCCCAGGTCTGTGCAAAACAAAAGTCAACATACAATTATTGCCAAACACAAAAGAAATATTCGTTCCCAAACGACCAGTTCCTTTCGCAGCAAGAAAGGAAATTGAAACAGAACTCCTCAGATTAGAAAACGCAGGAATAATCACACCAAATCCCAATGCACCAGAAGGTAAGTCTCCAGCAGAATCCTTCATCGGAAGAAAAATGAGAACGGTCTTCGACGTTCTAAGGAAGCAACAATCGCCTGAGTATAACGTCAATCACAAAATGGAACAGCAGTACAATACCAAACACGGTACCAAAAACAGAGAGTTTAGCAACGGAGAATTTGTCTATGCCAGAAACTTCAAAGGAAACAAAAGTTACTGGACAACAGGCGAAATAGTCGAGCGTAAAGGGAAAGTCATTTACAACACTCTAATCGACGTTGGGGACAGGAAAATTCTAGTACGAGCTCATACTGATCAACTTCGACATAGAGAATCGGTAGAGTCAAGCAGACAAGAACGACAAAAACTACCATTGGACGTACTACTTGAAGAATTCGAAATCGCTTTGCCTAACCATCAAGAACATTTTGCAACTCCAACAGGTTCACCAAACTGGACACCTCAAAGAATAACAAGTCGCAGACAACCAGTCGAACCTATTTCAAGATCACCTTCTCATCTTAAGGAGGGAGATGTTGGGGCAACCCACATTAACAATATGGCATCTCATATTGCAACATCCTATACGGCAACGCCCATATAATAGGACGCCGTGCTACCGCCATTTTAGCTTGCTCAGTCTTGTTTTGTCTGTCACTCGAGTCTGACTCACTACATTGTAACTTCTACATTCTTTTTAAATTAGTAGCTGTGAACGCTCATCATCCAATAAATCTTTACACCTTTAGTATTAACAAACATTGGCTTTTATTTCAAACTATAAAAGTACAACAGTATCCATTACGAACTCTAAATACCAAATTTGAAACAATTTCGGTGAATAATGTTGCCAAAATCACATGGGGGCTATACCAAAACGTGGACCTACATGACCCATTTTTTATAGGTACCAGAAGGGGTTCGCAGATATATATCATGCTTAAAACAGATCCTGCATTAGCAAAAATATTTGGATGTGTGAAATTTAAAGAGAGTTTTGTTTTTCAAAATCTTGAACCCTATGTGGGGGAGGTACTAGAAGAAATGGTCCGATCTCTACCATTTTTACAACAGACCTTGTGTTGATTGAAATATTCAAATGTACCACGTCTGAATGGAATGGGATGTCAATTTCGTGTTTTATGAGCTTTATGAATATTAAAAAATTCGACCATTTGTGGGGAGGTAGGAGGAGAAGGACTGATATACTGATATATTTCATCTTCACACTAGACTTTGGGTTAATAAAAATATTGCGATGTGTGTAATTTGAAGACAACCGGATGCTTATTTCGGCTTTTATGATCGTTTCTGTTATTCAAAACTTTGACTCTTTGTGGTGGAGGTACCAGAAGGAATGGTCCGATCTCTACCATCTTTATCGCAGATCTTGTGTTGATGGAAATATTGAGTTGTTGTAAGTCTGAATGAAATCGGATATTAATTTCTTGTTTTATGAGCTTCATGAATATTCAAATTTTTTACCCTTTGTGGGGGAGGTATCTGATGGAGTGAGCCAATATTGTCCACTTTCGCACCTGATCTAGCATTGATGCAAATATTAGGATTGGCAAAGTTGGGAAAAAATCGGATTATGCAGTAAATTTTTTTCATTGAAAATGTTGACATTTTATGGGGGAGTTACCAGAAGGAGTGGATCGATATTGCCGTTCTCCGAACTCGATCTAAGTTTTACAATAATATTACGATGTACCAAGTTTGGATCCCCTCGAGAGCCAGATAGACAGACGGACGGACATTGCTAGATCGACTACAAATGTCCTGAAACAGATTTGGTCCAAAGAGACCTAGGGTCTAAACTCGTTATTTCGATAAGGCACGTTTTGGCCTAATCAAATGATATAACCCTCTTTAGCCATATGGCTAAGGGTATAACAATTTTACTAACAAAGGTCTGTCAACTTTAAAAGACATCTATATGGCGCGGTATTCCAAAATGGGAAATCTATGGCTGAGGGTATACAAATTGTACCAACAAAGGTATATAGATAGTCTGGCATCCCAAAAGGGTAAATCTATAAAATTCCATTATTATCTCTTTTTTTCAGAGTTTTTTTTTTTTTGAACAACAATAATGAACATGCAGACAATGCAGATGAGTTCAATGTCCCATTGTTGAAATTGAAACAATGACCTATTATTAAAAGTTAATAAATACTCAAGGAAGCTATGATAAATGAAATTAAAAATATACCCTATTTAGAGGTTAATATTGGTGGCAACAATGATAATTGTTAATTGTAATGACATTGTTTGATATTTTTAATACCATTCACATTCGACGAGGTCTAATTATAAAGTAAAATTGATTATATAAAACTGAAGACTTTGGAGCTAGCTAATTTTAATTCGCAGCCTTGTTATCAATGCTCTACAATTGCATTACCCGCTTAATGCCTTAATTTTAATTAGCGTTGCAAATTGCTTAATAGATATGGGGGATATATTAATATATGTAATTAAATGTGTGTGCATAATAATATTTACCAGGGAATATGGCTAAAAATTCACGATTTTCCTCTGTTGATACGACGGTGCGAGTTGCTGCTGGTATCGGATGATTTTGTAGAGTTGACAATGCTCTGTAAAAAGATAATGAAACAATAGGTGTGAAAACAAAAAAAAAAAAATAAAACATTGGAAATTTACAAATATTTTGTGTCAACAAATTCTCCAAAAGATCAATGAAACACAAGCGTCGGTGCAGATGAAATCGCAGGCATTTAAAAAAAAAAAGATATATTGTTCACTGAGAGCTTAGGAGGAAATGTGTCATCTAAAGGTCGAATATGAATATTTCTTTGTTTGTTTTATTTTTATGATAACGAGAGGAAGTTGAATATTATAAATAACAAAACTACACGCGCAATCTAGATAATAGACTAAATAATTGACCATTCATGCCCTGCATCGCTAGGGTCCTATAATATAATTTAAAATAATTTTTATCTATTTTCAATCACTCTTGGGCTTAAGTAGAGCAATTATAATCGACAAGTAAATATGATTTAAGACTTGTAAGGAAAGACAAAAGTGGGACGGGCTTGACTTTTTGATAGCCTATACAGAACGAGATAAAAAAACTGCAACTGTTCGAATTGGTCACCTTTGGCACGAATTATGGTCTTCAAACGGCGGCCAATGAATCCGTCCCATGCTGCCGGAATGTTGCTCTGCGGTATTTTGGCCCATCGCTCAATCATGCTCATGCTCATCAAAATGCTTTTGTACGCTTGAAAAGAATACAATGAACTGTCACTGGGATATTTTTAAGAGGTGTCGGACGAGTAGCTTGGAAGTGACAGCAGTCTGAAGTTGGTTGCAGTTTTTTCATCTATTCTATTTGTGACCTCCTGTACCAAATGTCATTTCTGCAGAGCGCATATTACGGTTTTTAGAGCTATATTTGAATCGATTTGGTCCAAACTTGAACAAATTCTTTATCGCATAATCCAAAATTCAAAATCAAGTGGGAGAACATAGCTTTTTTGAAGCTACATCTAGATTTGACAAGGGCAAGAGCCCTACCTGATTTTTTTCTTGTACCAAATACAAATGCTATGGAGGCTATACCAAAACGTGGACCAGGACAAACAATTTTCTGTCATAGGCTGTGGTGTACATTACGAACTTCAAATACCAATTTTTAAATAATTTCGGTGAAAAATGTCGCTAAAATCATCAAAATACCGAATATCAGGAGGTACCATTATATGGGTGCTATACGAAGACGTGGACCTGCACAGACAATTTTCTGTCAAAGGCTGAAATATCCATTACGAACTTCAAATTCCAAATTTGAAACATTTATGGGGAATAATGTCGCTAAAATCATCAAAATGCCGAAAATAGGGAAGGTACCATTTTCAACTTAAAGTAAGAACCGGATTAGAAGAAAGGAACACAACATACATAGCTATTACAGCTATTACAACTACTCAATTTTGTCCTTTTTTGCCTGTTACAAACAAAAGCACATAGACATAGTACCCTGTACACTATTTTCTTGCCTATTATATAGATAGAGGTTTTTGTGGACCATATACATGGAATATTAAGTTGTGTAGCATTCATGAAGATCATTACTGCAGGTGGGAGAATTGTTTACACTACCAGCTACGCATTATAGATACACAGCCCATTCTATAATTAGAAACACTTAAAAGAGATAGAAAAAAATCAATGGCTATTTTGAGGAACAAAGAAAGGATATTGTACCAAATGTTTAGGATCCAAAGATACATGCATACAAAATCTCCTAAAGAATGAAATTTATAAAGAGCAAATTAACATCTTCGCACAGTGATAGTATAACCTGTTTGTTTATCAGTGTCATCCAACCAATAAAAACAAGCCCTACATCAACAAAAACGAAAGTCAATCACTTACAAATGTCATGGTGAGAAACCAATAATGCACATACCAGGTCTGGCCAATAAATTAGGCATTCAAAACTCAAAAATCTCAATCTACGTGATCAATAGAAAAATCAGCTAAGCATATCGTTGACCAATTTGATAGGTAAGCATACATATGGGATAGGTATATTGTGCGTTTGGTATGTAAACAATTCGTAATGTTGCTCTAACCCAAAATACCAATGTTACGTATTTATGTGTAATCTTAAGCCGGTTGGTTAATCTTCTATGTCATCTTACCTTGAAGAGTTTTCCAATTTTCTTTTGTTTATCAACTCCAATGGTAATCCTCCAATACGTTCCGTCTCATTGGGACTAGAATTTGTATGGATTTTATCCGAATTCTGGACAATATCACTTGTCGAAATATAACGGTTGCAAATGTTGGTTGTTTCATTACCCCCAGTGGTGGGTCTTGCCAAATTTGTTGTTGCTTTACAATTTGACAGCAGAAATTTACTTCTTGGCAATCTTCTCAACAAGGAATTCAACATTTTTTATAATTTTATATATTTCACTTTCGTTTGAGCTTCACTATTGTTATTGTAAATATTGTCTCAATAATAGATCCCGTTTCCGATTTCACTTTCTCAGTTTCGTTGTTATGCGTTTGACTCGTTTGACTGCGTCACTACAATATGGCAGTCACTACAATATGGCAACACTGAAAAGAAAGACAGCACAGAGAGAAAATCGAAATAAAGATGGAATCAAAAGGGAAAGGCGGACAACACAAAAGGAATCAAAACAAAACGGCCGACAACACTGAAACAGATGTTTAAAATATGGGTTGTGTTGGGAGTGGAGAAGATGAATGAAAAGTAAGAAAGAGGTTTCGTATGGAACGTAGTGTACGTTACTTAATCTACTAATCGATGTTATTCACAATATATGTTTACGTTTGTTATTGTGAACAATGAAGGTATGTGGTCACATGTTACATTTATTTGATGTAGATGAAAACACACATATTGTGATTAGATTGTGGTAGTGCGAAAAATAAGCAAACAGTAATCAAAATGTAAACAAATTTTGACATTTCGTTTGATCGGTGTAACTGCTTATTGTTATTGTATGCCATGGTACAATGATTTGCAATGAAGAACATAGAAAACATCTGAGTGAATTTGTTTCTTATGGAAGTCTTGTAATGTCAAAACATGTATACATGGTGTCATTGTGCAATAAGAAGGCAGAACAGCTACAGCTCACGGTAGAAAAATACATGTAGATAAATAGTTGAAGAATACAGATAGTCGCATCGACACAGTTGCTGGCACAATGGACTGTCAAATCAATTTTGAAATTGAAAATTTTGAATGAAAAATTATTCGAATTCGACGTAGCTGCCAGGAAAATAAACTGTCAAACCAAATTTTGAATGAAAAATTATTTCAATTTGTAAAAATTGTTGAAAACGCATTTAATAACCTCCGATTGACGTCCAATAACAAAATATATAAAAATCTACTTATATTTAAAAAACATTTTACATTTTTGGCATATCAATGTTGCTAAGCGTTGTATCTACTCATGGTATAAGAACACAGGTAGATGCATCAACTCTTGGGAACATTGATCTGTTAAAATTTTCAAAATGTTTTGTCAAAAACAAGTTGATTTTTATATGTTTTCTTATACGACGAAAATCGGATGTTGTTATGATAAGCATTTTTCGTTATAAATTTCAATAATTTTTCATTCAACACTTTCAATTTAAAAATCAGTTTGACAGTTCATTGTCCCAGCAGCCGTGACAATGCGAGTACTTGTACTATTCTGTCATGATGGATAATAAATAAAAAGATGAAAAGTAGTTGAGATAATATTCCATTTAATTTTACGTACAAAAATGTATCATACATAGTTATTTTATCGTGTTCTTAAATAAATATCTTTTAAATTCTGTAAAAATATATCTTTAGGTAATTCGCTTAATTGATGTATGTACGCTTCAATTATATCATATTTTTCCTCTTCAAATAATCTGAAAGCAGCATCAAGTTCCATATTGGCATATAAATCTTTGACACACTGTATCATTTGGGGATCTGAAAAATTATGCAGTTATGTATATGTAAATATAAGTGGAATTGAATCAATATCCCATGGTAAAATTAAGAAGGTAAAGTCATTTCAAATAAGCAAATCCATCTCTGCATTTTCTGTAATTTATCTTGTTAAATTTCACTGAATATAAAACAAGTTTCCATCTCCGACTTCTGTGTATTCAATGGATTTATAAATATAAATTTTGACAATAAATAATAATAAATAATTTTGAAAAAAAAAATGTAAACATATGACTGCACGACTTTACCTTTTTAATTGTACCATGCAATAACCTTTATTTCCATAGCATCTTTGCATTGTTAGTTTTTGTTCCTTATTTGCTCGACGCATAAATTCAACGGCAAACCAGGTACATTTATTTCTGGCTATGTCAGATCCATTTTTGGCATATTTTTCCGAACATCCATATAAATTTAAGAAATCATCTTGCACTTGATAAAGATGACCCATTTCATGCAATATAATGGTATATAGGTGAGACGCATCCTGGATATTTATACTAAAAATAGGAGAAATTAATGCAACACTTTTTATTAAAAACTTGCTTTTGACAATTCCTTAAACGATTCGTTATATTAAAGTTTGAAGTTAAATGAGATGTTGTCAAATAAATAATTTTGAAAAAAATGTAAACATATGATTGCATGACTTTACCTTCTTTACTCTACCATGTTGTGTACCTTATTGTCATGGCAGAAGAATACACGTAGTTGCATCGACACAGCTGCTGGGACAATGAACTGTCAGATCAAATTTGAAATTAAACATTTTTGATGAAAAATTATTGAAATTTGTAAAAAATTTTGAGAAATGCTTTCGATTGGTGTCGTATAAGAAAACTTATAAAAATCTACATATTTTTTGAAAAAATACATTTTAAAAATTTTGACATATCAATGTTCCCACGCGTTAATGCATCTACCTGTATTCTTCTACCATGCTTATTATTAAAAACAATACACACACTTTCAAACTTTGCATATATTTTGACATAGCAAGCTTTTGAATACCTTCTAAAGATGTGGGTACATAAGCAGCTTGGATTCCTAGTTTAATATATATTGTGACATATTACAAAGGGATATCAGAGGAGCACTCGAATCACGATGGCAAGCTGCTTAGTACTATCGCTTTAAGAATAAGGGTGGAGATACATAATGCGTATATTTGTTTGACTTAAGTCATCGGCTGGTTTCTTCGTAGATGAACAATGGAGTTTTAGGTTGACTTAGTTCGATTTTGGCCTTAGGCTCCTTTGTTCATTTCAGAAGAAGCCAGCCGATGACTTAAGCCAGCCAGATAGGCGCTTTATGTATTTTCACCTTAAGATTGGCCAGTGAGCTCATCTGACAACTACGTTTGCTGTCAAAAGACATATTGTGATATTGTGAGGATCAAATCACAATAGTGCAAAAAGTACTACGTTTATTGTTAATTCTTTGTCAAAAGTAGTCTTCATTATACTTACCCCGCCATTTGCATTGCTAGCCTGAACGGCAATTCAAATAAATAATTCGCAGTTTTTGCATTTGCAATCATTTTATACATTTCCATTGAGAAACTTGTAACTGGTTGCTTGCAAGACAGGAGAGTTGTGCTCTGAACACAGGCACTCTTAAGGGCCGCATCATGAAATATCTGCATTAATGGTACATAGTTGGATGAATTCTTAAAATATTTATGCATTAGAAAATATATAGAATTTTCCAATATTATAGCATCATTAAGACCAATGATGCCAACTTTATTCAATTTATGCCAACACGTTTTTCCTTGTCTCCATCCATTGTCCTCGATAATATCGAAATAGATTGAAACGGCCGAATATAATAATTCAACACACCAACCCAAAATTTCCACTGATTTCAAGTCGGGTGTTTGATTCTTCCATTTCATTAATGAGCCATATGCGGAGAAAGTATTTTGGAGACACTGATGTTTGTCCTTCTTCACATTGTACTCAAGTATCTGGCTAAACCAATTCGATTTGATGTTGCAATTAATTTTGGAAATGGCTTTGTTTACATCGAGTATATAATCTAGAAGAGATAAACGTACATTTGTTTATATTTTTATGAGTTAGAACATGTTCTATGGCAGAAGAATACAGCTGTTGGGTCAATGAACTGTCAAACAGATTTTGGAATTGAAAATGTTAAAGGAAAAATTTGAACAATTGTTGAAAAATACATGTCATGACAACATCCGATTTACGTAGTATAAGAAAACACATAAAAATCTACTTATTTTTGAAAAAACATTTTAAAAAATTTGACATATCAATGTTTCCAAGCGTTAAAGCATCTACCTGTATTCTTCTACCATGACATGTGTACATAAAAGTTCTTATAGTGTGTTTAAATACCAATTTTTAAAGCGTTTGATTTGAAAATTTCTACTTATAGTGCATTTAAAGTAGATTATCCTTAGTTAATTAATTGTTAATGTAATATAAATATTTACCTGGAAGATTGTTACACGATGAATGCCTTCCAGCATTAGTTTCTTTGGGCCTATCAACTGTAAGACATCTGTTGAAAAAAAATTAAATACATAATTTGTTATCTACATCACACGTGCCTTATGAAGAATTTTAAAATCGAAAATTGGTTTGACAGCTCATTGTCCCGGCAGCTGAGTCGATGCGACTACCTGTATTCTTCTACCCTAACTACGTTTATATGCAAATGTTACAAAATCTTGACCCGGGTTAATCCTGTTAATTGATCAATCACAATAAATGTGAACATGCAAAGCATACGTTAATTGATTTCGGGTAAAGACTAGGTATGTAAATGTGCTATAAGTCTATAGCACTGTCAATCAATGAACTGTTAAACCAATTTTGCAATTGACAATTTGTAAAAATTTAAAAAAAATGTGTATCATCACATCCTCCGATTGGCGTCGTATAGCAAAAACAAAATCAAATCAACTTATTTTTGATAAAAAAAAACATTAAATATTTTTTTGGCCTATCAATGTTCCCAAACGTTTATTCATCTACCTGTATTCTTCTACCATGAATATGCGTTAACTTTATTGTGATTACGAGTAAAGTTTAGGTATGTAAACGTGCTATAAGTCTATATTTATAACATGGTAGAAGAATATAGGTAGTCGCATCGACACAGCTTCTGGGACAATGAACTATCAAATCAATTTTGGAACTGAATATTTTGTGGGAAAAATTATTCAAATTTGTAATTTTTTTTTTAAATTCATATTATAACAACCTTCGATTGGTGTCGTATAAGAAAACTTATAAAAAATTTACTTATTTTTGAAAAAAAAAAAAAAAAATAAATAAAAATTTTTGAAATATCAATGTTCCCAAGCGTTTACAACATGGTAGAAGAATTCAAGTAGTCGCATAGACACAGCTGATGGGACAACGAACTGTCAAACTAATTTTGAAATTGAAATTTTTGAAAGAAAAATTATTCAAAATTGTAAAAGGGCATATTATAACAACCTCCGATTAGCGTCGTATATGAAAACATGTGCAAATCTAATTATTAAAAAAAAAAACATTTAAAAAATTTGACATATTAATGTTCCCAACGTTGATGCATCTACCTGCATTCTTTTGCCATGGTTTACAATTAAGGTATGAACATAATTTAAATCCGAAATGTATACAGCGTTGTAGTCACATTATTTTCTTTACCGCAACTTTTTCGTTGTCATTAGATTTCTATTCCACATTAAATATTGTTGCTTCAATATGCCACATAGATTTTTACTAATAGAAATCATTTGTGTGGGAAACTAAATAAATTTACTAAAATATCCGTTTAGGGTCTACCCTCACAACTGTTAAAACAAAACTAACTGTAGTCCGTGACTCGCCAAATTATTTGTTACGCAACATCCTGAATAAAATTAAATAACACGGTGATAAAAACAACTTCAACCTATTTACTCAAATTGTGGCTATGATAAATACTTGTTCAAACTATGCAAATAAAAGCACAATATCCCCGAGGCTATGGTACGGAACGATAAACGATTTTCTAATATATAATTATACATAGCTTGTTTTATTTGGCATTGTAGCATTGTTCCTTTCTTGAAGGTGTATAGTTAAGTTGTAGATACATAGAAAGCTTTCTTTACTGCATTTAAGGGTGAAACAAATCAAAGTTTAAATCGTGACTTCAGCGTGAAAATGTGACACAGATGTCTTTTTTGCCTGAACGAAACGTAAAAACCATGGTAGAAGAATACAGGTGGTCGCACCGACACAGCTGCTGTGACCATGAACTGTCAAACTCATTTGAGAATTAAAAATTATTCAAATTTGTAAAAATTGTTAAAAACGCATATTTTAATAAACACCGTTTGAAGTCGTATAAGAAAATATATAATAATATACTTATATATACCATGGTAAAAACACAACACACTTGTCAACTACAAGTGGTAACAATGTTGTATATTTACGTTGACGCATGGTAGAAGAATAAAGGTAAACACATCGACACAAGTGACGGGACAATGAACTGTCAAACCAATTCTGGAATTGAAAATTTTGAATGAAAAATTATTTAAATTCATGAGAATTGTTAGAAAACGCATATTATAATAACATCCGATTGACGTCGTATAAGAAAACTCATAAAAATCTGCTTATATTTGAAAAAACATTTTAAAATTTTTGACAGATCAATATTTTTTAGCGTTGATGCATCTACCTGTATTCTTCTACCACGCGTCGACGTCACAATTTAAGCTTTGATCTGTTTTAGTCATAATGGTGAGAGTAAGTGATCGGCTAGCTTTTTCGTAAAATAACAAAAACTCGTTGGTTGAACAAGTATGAATTATGGACAAAAACCGAACTAATGCTGGGAATACATAAAGCGCTTATTTGGCTGGCTTAAGTCATCGGCTGGCTTCTTCGGAAATGAACAAAGGAGCCTAGGGTCAAAATCGAACTAAGTCAACCTAAAACTCCTTAAGTCAACCAAAAACTTCTTTGTCTACTACAGGTAGCCGCATTGATACAGTTGCTGGTAAAATGAATTGTTAAACCAATGTTTGCAATTTAAACATTTGAATGAAAACTTATTCAAATTTGTAAATTTTGTTTCAAAATGCATATCATAAAAACTTCCGATTGACGCCGTATAAGAAAACATATAAAGCCCTATTTTTTAAACAAACAATGTTCAAATGTTCCCAAGCCTTGATACATCTACCTGTATTCATGATTCTCCTCGATTAATCAAATCACATGAAAAATGGTCAATTATGATAAAAAAAAAAATGGTCAATCGGATAAAGATTTGCATTTTGAAAGAGAGGGCTAGGTTCATTTGAGGCTCTATAAGATGAAATGTTTTGTAATGTCAAATTTTCCACATGTAGAAGTTGCACATATCGTATGATACAGGGATGACATTTCAGTTGTGAAATACATGAGTAAAATACATTCGTACTTTTTCGGTCACAGCTAGCCCTATTGTCATCGGATAAATATAATTTAATTAAAAGTGTTGTATGTTTGTTGTGTGAAAATATATAAATACTCTGAATTTATTAGTTTTGCAATTTTTTTTTCGATATCATGAAGTGACCACAATTAAATTTGTGAAAAAAGATTATCTATAAAATATTATAATTTTTATTAAAACAACATAAAATGCAATATTTTTTAACAACAATAGTTTTCGTAGCTGAGTTATCGTAAGCAAGCGTATCTAAAATCAGCTGATTAAACCAATCTGTAAAACGTACCGGACCTTTGGTATATCTTTGACCTATCCCATAAAGTTTACACAGTAAAAGTGGGAATACATAATGCGCTTATTTGGCTGGAATAAGTCATCGTCTGACTTCTTCGTAAATGAACAAAGGAGCCTAGGGCCAAAATCGAACTAAATCAACTTAAAACTCCATTGTTCCTCTACGAAGAAGCCAGCCAAATAAGCGCTTTATGTATTTCCAGCCTAAGATCTATTGTAACAGCAAGAATACATTAGGACCATGGCAAAATTAAGAAGGTAGTCATTTCAAATAATCATTCCCATCTTTGCATTTGGAGGTTTCCATCTCTGATTTTTGTATGTACAATGGATTCATGAATATACATTGTGACAATGAGATATTGTCAAATGAATAAGTTTGACAAAAATGTAAACATATGATTGCATGACTTTACCTTCTTACAAAACTGAATGAGTATTTATTTTATATATAATTTATATCCATATTAGATTTTTCAACACACAATATTTTTTTTGCTATTTTTGGAACCCTTTTGGTTGTGTATGTGTGCATAAACAAACATCAGCTGAGCAGTATTTATATCTCCTTAAATTTACAGCGAGTTTAGATAGAAAATTTTGTGTTTTTTTTTTCAGATCTTCCCACAACAAAAATCATCGCCGAATTTTTACATTGGTGCGGTGGTACATTTTAATTTCGCAAACGTTTCCTCTAAGGCGTTGTTTGCATTCTATATTCGAACTTGTTTTTCGTTACATTATTTTTGGATAGTTTTTTCATTAATGTTTGGTTGTGTATGTATAAACAAACCTCAGCTGAGCGACATTTATATCCCCCTAAGAGCCCACTAGATCTATTAATCAAACTGGCTTAAGCTTTGTGTAAACGAACCTTAAGAATCAAGTTAATGAGCAATGAAACTCACAAGTAAACAACATTTATTTGTTTAGACGTCTGACACACATTTTTTGACATTTGTCGTTTTTGTGACATATTGAATGGATTTGACAATTTTAACTTATCATTTCAGGTGCAAATGCAGGACGTTATGTTTTTTTATTTTTGAATTATCAAAACATTTTCACATTTCGCTACAATATACTCTAGTTGCTATCTTTAATAAGATTTCTTGTATGGTCTTATCGGGAATGTCATATATTTGTGATTTTGTTTTTTGGTATGACTCTTCTAATGCGACTGCATACACGCTGTGAAGGTCCAACGTTGAGTAGAGATTTTTAATTTCTTGAATTTTTTCCGGATCTACAAAAAATATTATATATAAGAATATGACCATTTTTTTTTATTAAATATTAACTACCTTTTTTGCCATAACATTCATTGATGATTTGTTGTTGCTGTTCATTTGCGAGTTCCATTGCTGCAACTACCAACCATGAATATTTATTGTCCTGTATATCGGTTCCTATTTTTCCAAACGTATCTAAAGTGCCATAACAATCCAGATAATCATTTTTTATTTGGTAAAATGTACCGACCTCTCTCAGAATGTTCTTCGATTGATTGAGGATAGTTTTGTCTGAAAAACTAAAATGCCAGATTAATATTATAGGTTTACATAAGGATTTAATGGTATATCTTAGGCTAGGTTTACATTAAAATCGTTTACATAATTAATTAATATATCATGATTTAAGTCATTTTTATAAACTCCACCATTGTACGGAGGGTATATTAGGTTTATCATTCCGTTTGTAACACCTCGAAATATACATTTTAGACCCCACAAAGTATAAATATTCTTGATCAGCATAAAATTCTATGTCGATTTAGGGATGTCCGCCCGTCTGCGGAAAACACTATAGCTTCCGAACGAAATGAAGTAGATTGATAAAATGTTACTCAAACGTATTTTATGTCTGCAGGACTTTTGATATTGAAAGTGGGTCATGTTGGTTCACGTTTTGGTTTAGCCCCCCATATAATGGTACCTCCCGATATTCGGTATTTTGTTGATTTTAGCGACATTATTCACCGGAATTGTTTCAAATTTGGTGTTTGAAGTTCGAAATGGATACTACAGCATATGACAGGAGATTGTCTGTGCATGTCCACGTCTTCGTATAGCCCTTATATAACGTTACCTCCCGATATTCGGTATTTTGATGATTTTAGCCACTATCCACCGGAATTGTTTCAAATTTGGCATTTGAAGTTCGAAATGGATACTACAGCCTTAGACAGAAAATTGTTTGTTCAGGTCCACGTCTTCGTATAGCCCCCATATAACGGTACCTCCCAATATTCGGTATTTTGATGATTTTAGCCACATTATCCACCGGAATAATTTCAAATTTGGTGTTTGAAGTTCGAAATGGATACTGCAGCCTCAGGCAGAAATATATCTGTGCAGGTCCACATTTTAGTATAGTCCCCATATAATAGTGCCTCCCTATATTTTGATGATTTTAGCTACATTCACCGATTTTTTTCAAGTTTCGCATTTGAATATTGTAATGGGTTACGACAAAAGTTGCCTATGCAGGTCCACGACGTCGTGGACGGCTAAGTTTGGTATTTTTAAGATTTTAACAGAATTTTTAACGAATTTTATTTATTTATTTATTTATTTATTTTTTTTTTTTTGAAGATTGCCAAATTCGTTCCAAATGGTGGAGGGTATACAAAGTTCGGCCCGACGCAACTTTTTTACTTATTATGCTTATTTCCATACATTTCCGATGTTAAACTTTTTGTATTTTGCATTACTTCCACTTACCCAGCCAAATATAACGCCGTTGCAAATGGCAAGTAAAAATGATCATATGCCACCTTATTAGCTGCCATAATCCTATAGGTTTCCATATTAAAAGTGTTAACGGGATTTTTAGCATATATCAAGTCTAAACTTTGTATACACGCGGCTACGAATACAGTTTCGTGAAAAGTTTCCAATATTTGTCGATAAAACGGTAAATGTCCAAAATAATGTTTAAGCAACATGTAAACTGAATGTTCAATCATGAAAGCATCATTAATTGCCAATCCGATTCCGTGCATTTTATACCACGTTGAATGACCTCTCCGATAGGCGCCATCATCCATTATATCGTCAAGCATTAACACACTAATATTCATAAACTCGGTGCAATAGCCCATTATATAAGCCAACTGGTGATTTTGTGTAGAAATATTTTTCGATTTGATATATTGGTCATAGGTCAATGTGGTAAGTTGGAGAATATTACATGCCGATTTTTCCAGGTGATATTCAATAGCCTGAAAAACAAATTGAGAACATAGAGTTTTAAACAGGGTATTGTATGTTGATATTACATGTGTGAGAACAGCTGACTCTTATAACTGATATATATGCTACGTTTAGATTGTAGTACATTACGTTACGCTTACACTAATGGCATTTTCATTAGGTATGCTGTTTGCTTTTCTAGTAAAATTTGGTTTATTTTATTTTCGTACAAAAAAGAAAAAGTACAAATCTAAAGGTGACATTACATAAAACGCTTTTTTGACTGGCTGAAGTCATCGGTTGGCTTCTATATAAAAAACAAAGATGAAAAGATATTCTATCGTTCGACTTACTTTAATAAACCAATTGGACCCTTCCGTTGTACCAAATCTTTTAATAATATCACCAACATCATTAAGCATATCTGAAAAAAAAAACAAAATAATTTATGGATCCGCATTTACGTCAGCATTTTTAATGATTTTTAAAATAAGTAACATTCACAACGATTCTGAGATTATTTAAAAGTAAAGTTAGCTGATATTTTTAGATACTGAGTATAAACAGAAGCACACAACAACATACCAAAGATTTATATTCAAGACCAGCTGATATCACATTGTTTTAAATTATATATATATATATATATATATATATATATATGTATATATATATATAAACATATAAAAAAAGCTTAGTTCGGTCCATCCGAACTTATAATACCCTGCACCATGAGGTAAAAAAAAATTATAAAAGAAGAAGCATGATAGAATTATAAAGGTAAAGTCATGCAATCATATTGTCAAAATTTGTATTTATAAATCCATTGTACATAGACAAATCAGAGATGGGAACCTGCTTTTTATGCAGTGAAATCTATATCTATACTCTAATTTTAAACAATTTCGTGAGAAAATGTTGCTAAAATGATCGAAATATTGAAAATCGGACGGTACCGTTCTATTGGCGTTATAGGAAAACGTAAATTATTCTCGCAACAAAACTTACATGGTAAAAGAATACAGGTAGATGCATTAACGCTTGTCAATTTTTTTAATGTTTTTGCTATTTTCAAAAATAAGTAGATTTTAATATGTTTTTTTTATACGACGTCAATCAGAGGCTGTTATGCAATTTTTCAACAATTTTAACGAATGAAAATAAATTTTCATTCAAAACTTTCAATTCCAAAATTAGTTTGACAGTTCATTGTCCCAGTAGCTGTGTCGATGCATCTACCTGTATTCTTCTACCACGAAAACTTTTGACAACAAGTGAAGACTAATAGCGCGTTTACATACAAATTTTAATTCAGAGTAATCCTCATTATCAAGATTTATTCAATCCGATTTGAAGTTTAAAAAGAACTTTAAGATCCACATTTAAATCATGTCATACTTGTCAATTCTATTTAAAAACGCAGAGAAAAACACAGTGAGGTATGCACAAATATTTCGTTTTAACATTCGATTTAAATCAAATCGTATAAGGGCATAGTCTAAACGGTCCTCTACACTGGAATTAGCCTTTAGTAGAAGAATGCATGTAGTCGCATCGACACAGCTGCTGGGACAATGAACTGTCAAAGCTTTTTTGGAATCGAAATTGGTAAATGAAAAATTATTCAAAATTAAAAAAAATGCATATCATAACAACCTCCGATTGGCGCCGTATAGGAAAACATTAATAAATCTACGTATTAAAAAAAAAAAAAAAACACACACTAATTTGTTTGACATATCAATGTTCCAAAGCGGTGATGTATCTACCTGTATTCTTCTACCATGGGTTTTAATAAAACATGCTGATGTCCAATGCTTTATACATGTGTTTGCACAAATATTTGAAATAGATCAGATATGGAGGTGATTGACATTGGAAGAAAGCAAATTGCTCAGAGTCAGCACCGAAACAATAGAAAACAATTGCTATTGTTCTCTATTTCACAAAAGCTAACATGATTATTAACACTTTAATGCTATTTACACAAATGTTTATTGAATTCTATTTGGAAATACAGTTCAAAAAATTAATATACGAAAATCTGTTCTTCTTGCATTGTATTTATGGGATAGAGAGGAAAAAAAATATAACAATACAATAAGAAAACAAAGTCTATTGAAAATGCTATCTGATAAGATCAGCTGATCTTCTCCGCAATGTCAAAATGCATGAAAAATTTAAGTAAACGCATAAAACAAAAAATGCAGTAAGATCTTGACAACATTATTCAACTGATTATTCTGAGGGTTTGACTCTTAAAGAAACGTCATTCGAGTAATATGCAAGAACTTATATAACAGAGAAAGCTTCATTAAAATGAAGTGTTTAAAGCCTCTATTTGTTATATGTTTAAGACATGGTGCAATGAAATAAAGGTAAACTCATTTCAAATAAGCATTCCCAGCTCTGCGTTTCTGTAATTTACGTTGTCAAATTTCATTGCATAGATAATAGTCCCCTCCTGTGTGCATACTATGGATTTATGAATATGGATCTGACAATGACCTTTGACAAAATTTGAAAAAATTTTAAACATATGATTGCATGATTTTACCTTCTTAGTTCTACCATGGTTCAAGATCTTATTCGTCGTTTTAAAGAAAGAACAACGAAAATAATAGATTATTTATTTTATATTTTTGTAAAATATGCCACTCGTCATACGTATATATTTTAGATATGAAAATAATTTTTATATGAAAAAAAGAAAACAAGATCGAGTTATTTGGAAAAGAGTTGTCATATTCGATTTGCAAATGATTCCACCTCTATTATTCTGTCATGTATTTAACATTAAATGCCATTAAATATCTAAAAATTAAAATCATGGTAGAATTAAGAAGGTAAGCCTGTACAATCATAATTTAACATTTTTTTTAATCTTTCCTTTGACAACACCTCATTGTTTATACACCAAAATCAGATGTGGTAAAGTACTTAAATTTGACAAAGCAAATTGTAGAAAAATGCAAAGCTGGATATACTTATCTGATATGAGACTACCATGGTAGAAGAATATAGGTAGTCCCATCGGCACAGCTGGTGGGACAATGAACTGTCGAACAAATTTTGAAATTGAAAAATTTGAATGAAAAATTTGTAAAATTTGTTGAAAACGCATATCTCCTCCTCTACCTCGGATGAGGTCGTACAAAAAAACATATAAAAATATACTTATATTTGAAAAAAAAAAAACATTTCGATTTTTTTGACATATAAATGTTCCCAAGCGTTGTTGCATCTACCTGTATTCTTCTACCATTCTTGCGCTCTTCGCACTTTAATTTGACAAGGCAAATTGTCAGAAAAATGCAAAGCTGGGTATACTCATTTGAAATGAAACCACCTTGATAATTTTACTATGATTAGAATGTTGATTCGATTTTCTAACAATTACTTGTAACAGAAAATTCTCTCGGTACAAGATACTGAGTAATCTTTGCTAGGAAAGTTATCGTACACACCTAATATTAAAGTGTAACAAACTCTACCTGGACTTAAAAAAAGTAAACATACCTGGAAGTACTTCTTGATAGTTGGCAATTTGTGTGTTTTGTTCGGTAGGGAGTGGCCTGAAAATAAAACCATTGAAATACATATTAAAAATGATGATTAAATAACAAACTAAAATTAGCATTAACAAAAGGTTATCATCCATAGAAAGACTACTGCTTTTATAATTTTTGGATTTGAATTTGGACTAGAACTACGGGGGAAAAGCGTAACGCTCCCTAATTGTTCATACATTGGTTTTAAAGGGTTGTCATGCAGTTTTTACATTTGTATTAGTTTTCCATTTCTGGCAATTCACTGATTTACATGCTAGAAGAATACAGGTAGTCTCATCGCCACAGCTGCTGAGACAATAAACTTCAAACCAATTTAAAAATGTAAAATTTTGATGAAAAATTATAGAAATTTGTAAACAATTGTTGACAATTGCACATCATAACAACCTCCGATTGGCGTCGTATGAGAAACATATAAAATCTAGATTAAACATTTTTTGACACATCAATGTTCCCAAACGTTGATACATCTACCTGTATTCTTCTACCATGCCCATTTATTTATCTTAAAGTATGTTTACACGCATTCCTTTATATCAAATATACACAGTAGCATGGTATGTTTTCTAATAAATTAGTAGAATTACCATCAAATATTGTCATTTGTATTAGTTTTTTCCATACTTGTTTGAGAAGTAATTCTCTCAGTGCGGTTCTGTCAATTCACTACTTTAGTTGTGAAAAGATCGGCAACAAAGCAATTATAGCGAACAATATTATGATAAAGAATCCTAGTGGTACCAGAAACTTTCAATGAATATCGATTTAAAAGCGCATTTTTTTATGACTTGTATTCACTTCTTACTGTTACATTACAACAACAACAATAAAAAATTCAAAATCAAATGTTAAATGAAGCTTAATATAGGTCAGGTATATAATAACAAACTCATCATTATTAATTATTATTTCTCTCTACTCTGGCAACTCTCTATGTTTACAGAACTATGTAAACACAGTACAGTGTATTGCAAACGGAAATAATTATTCATGAGTAATTAAAAAAACTATAATTTCTTACCCCGTCTTCAGATTCCTTGGGATATTCCTTTTTACCACTGGATCCTGGGCACCCAGCAAGGAGCTAGCACAACGTTTATATATTTTACAATGAACATCATTAGATGATGGTACAGTCCTTATAAAATTGCGACAAGTGGTTCTCAATAGTGAATACATCATTTTTTTGTTTGTTTTAATTGACAGAGTTTAATTTGGTTGCCGTGTGTCAGTCTGTTATCGCAGGTATTTCGTTTACAACTGAATTCATACAAAGATAGACATATGTTTAAAAGCCACAACTTAAAAGTTCCGTTTTCCGATTTTTCAATGTGTTTAAGTATTTTGACAATGAAATTAAACAAGTCTATCAGTCGTCAATGTGAATATTATAAAGTGTCAAGTTTATTTTGTTTTACCTTTTTATTATGTTTTTCTTGTTTTTTGTTTATTAAAGTTCAATGTACTTAGAAAAACTCGCCAATATAAATTGTAATTCATTTTCTTATTACAGCATTCATTTATCCCGAATATGTCGTAATTTATATTATGCAAGGTTTTTTGGCGCAATTCTTTATTTGTAGAAGAGATGGGAAAAGGGGGGATTGAAAGGGGCGGAAAATGCTCTTACTGGCAATTGTGTTTTTATTTGTAAACAAAAATATAATTAAAAATGACAAAAAATGCAATGATGAAAAAGAAAATTGCACGAGGAAAGCGTAAAAGGAAACAATGCAAATTATCGCCAATAAACTCGTCTAGTACAGGGTGAGATGAAAAAACTGCAACCAACTTCACACTGCTGTCATATCTAAGCTCATTATATTGTTTACAAGCGTAAAAAACCATTTTGGTGAGAATTTTCTAGACAAAATGTTATTCGTTATGGAATTCAAGCGTGATAGTGTGATTTCTTTATATTTGGCTGGAAAACCACAAGTGGCTATCGATATAGCACTCCAGCATTTAAATGTACCATCGCTCGTTACCGTGATACTGGTAGCGTAGCCCGACGTCAAGAAGTGGACGGAAGAAAAGCGTCAATCACCTCAAGCAAGCTCTTCGCCGGGAATGGGCCAAAATACCGCAGAGCAACCGAAGGTGACCAATTCGAACAAATCTATACAAATTGTAAAATCTATCTATCTATCTATCTGTAAAAATCTATATATTTGTCAAAACATTTTTGACATATCATAAATAAGTTTTAGGTTTACTTAGTTTGATTTCAGCCCTTAAGCTCCTTTGTTTTTTTTTTCAAAGTCAGATGATGAAGTCAGTAAAAAAACCGGGTGTATGTATTCTCACCTTAAGTTTAATTTGGCTGTTGTTTGTCCGTTATTGCATGTAATTAATTTACAAGTGAAGTTATACAATGACATATGTTAATAGCTCAAGTTGAGATGTGTAGTTTGCCGATGTTTTAGTGTGGACGTTATGTCAATGAAAATAAACCAGTCTATTCATCATTCTGAGCATTATAAGTTGTGAAGTTTATTTTGTCAACTTTTTGTTTGTGATATGTGACAAAGTTCATTGTACGTACAAAAACTCCTATAAACTATTTGAAAAATAATTGTAATTCACATATTTATTGCGGCATCATTAGCTTTTCCTTTAGTTTTTAAGTTGATCATTTCTTTATTTTTGTTCTGACGCGGGAACATTGAAATGTATCAATACATTTTTCAACCTTGTTAGCCCTGCCAATTAAATGTCAAATTCACAATTTGCACATTTCTGCTCGGCCAAATTCATGTAGCTAAAACAAGCAGAAATGTGCACCACTCAGCGCCATTTTTTTCTCGAGAGAGCTGCAAGTTTTGCTAGTTTTTGCAGTACGGGAACGTGTTGTAGCAGAATTAGTACTAATTAGTACTAATTTGTAGGTTCTGGAACACAACTATAATTTCGCAAATTCGATTTCGTCAGAAGAGGGTTGCCATATTAATTTTAGGAAATTAGTTTACCTTTATTTTGTTTTGCCATGTAATCCCTATTGGCTCAAAAATTAATTAATATTTAAAAATAAATAAATTTGGTTTTTTATTTACTTTCCTTAAATGAAAGTGGCATGGCAGAAGAATACAAAATTTTAGATTTTTAAAAGTTGTCTTATAAGACATTAATAATTTTATAATATGCATTTTTCAAAAAAATAAATACTAATTTGAATAATTTTTCATTCAAAATGTTCAATTTCAATATTGGTTTGACAATTAATTGTCCCAGCAGCCGTGTCGATGCGACTACCTGTATTCTTCTACCATGCTACACGAGAAATAGCGTTTGGGTCACAAAAGAAAAGACAATCGTATGATTAGATTGTTTATTCGATTCTTAAATTATTTTACAATTCAATATCTTAAGAAATACTTGTACTAATCCAACTTATTCTACCTCAATGCCATGGTAGAAAATACAGGTAGATGTATCAATGTTTGGGAACATTGATGTGGCAAATTTTTTAGAATGTCTTTTTTTAATTATTAATAGATCTTTATAAATTTTCTTAAACGACACCAATCTGACGTGATTATGATAAGAATTTTCCATATATTTTACAAATTTGAATAATTTTTCATTCAAAATTTTCAATTTTAAAATTGGTTTGACAGTTAATTGTCAGCATGTCTCAGCAGCTGTGTCGATTTTTCATTCAAATTTTTCAATTTCAGAATTTGTATGACAGTTCATTGTAGCCGCACCTGTGTCGATGCGACTACCTGTATTCTTCTACCATGATCAATGCACACGCAAGGTTGTTCGGTCCTTACGCTAGAGGGTGCGCAATTGTTTATGCTACTCAATTCGCGCATCGCTATCTTTCCGTGCGGATCTTATCAAATCCTTTATTATCAGCGAATATTATTGCTGTTTGGAATTTTCCATACTTTAAAATGCATTTACCACTTATCGGATATTGCTAACTCACTTATCAGTAAACATAAACATTTGTCATAAGCATACAATAATCTATAACTTAACAGCTATTTAAAAATTATACAATACTAATTTCACCTAATTTTATAGCCCCTTAAAACTTCACAATTTACATTAGTCAGTAATTACTACATTGTCTAACGCACGTCATTGCAGTCTTTGACTATACTCATGGTAGAATTAAGAAGGTAAAGTTATGCGATCATATGTTTACAATTTTTTTTTTCAAAATTATCCATTTGACAACATCTCATTGTCAAAATTCATAATTATAAATCGATTGTTTACACATAAATCAGAGATGGTCATGTAATTTGACAAGGTAAATTACAGAAAATGCATAGCTGGGAATGCTTATTTTTAATGACTTTACCTTCTTAATTCTACCATGACTATACTTCTCTTATGGGTGAGAGTCAGTGTTTGCTGTCGGAACACTTTCGGTGTCATTTGATAATGATGTGCTCGTACTAACCGAGTTATTCACATTGTTCCATGGTTGAACGGTAGCCTTGCCGAATATTAAAAACAAACCATTACAAATCAGATATACACCCGCTGTTATAAAGAAAACTATACGCCATTCATTGGGATCTTCTTCATCTACGACAATAGCTCCTACCACAAGCGGAGTACATATGGATAGAAGATTTGATACCGTGTTCGTGATGCCCATCAGCAATCCGGCAAAGTTGGGCGAAAGATCCATATGGTTTACCAAGTAACCACAAAAAGAAGCTGCGTTCAATCCAACACCTATGGTCAATAAAATAATGGCTGGAGTTTTTTGATCTTCTGTCATGTAACCAAGTCCTATCAGACATACCATGGGCACCCATTGACCAATGGTGTTAAATATTTTTCGAGATGCAGTGACGCTTGTTATATTACGATTGATTAGTGTATCGGCTATAGGACTTACGACTATACACAAGATCCACATTACAAAATAGGGAAGTGCGGAGAGTAGAGCATTTGTTTTCACATTAAAATGAAGCACATTTGCCATGTATGTGGGTATTTCATTCAAGAGTGTGTAGAAGCCCCACGTGTAGCCAGCGTGAGCCGCTGTCAGTCCATAAACACATGCTGATGTCAATATTGTTTTCCAAGGTACGGCCTGAAAGAATAAGAAGAATAATATTAAAGTAACTGAACATAGTAGAAGAATACAGGTAGATGCATCAACGCTTGGGGACATTTATGTCAATTTTTTTCAATGATTTTTATATGTTTTCTCATACGACGCATTTCAGAGTTTGTTAAGATGTACATTTTTAAATAATTTTCACAAATTTGAATTATTTTTCATTCAAAAATTTCGTCGTATAAAAAAACATATAAAAATCTACTTATATTTTAAAAGACATTTAAAAATTTTTGACATATCAATGTTTCCAAGCGTTGATGCATCTATTTACATTCTTCTACCATGATAGTGCGTTTACATTAAAAGTCTTTACACTGATTATAGTAAATTATCAGGATTTATAGTATGTTTACATTAAGCTGCCCTCAGACACACCAACAGTTGGCCCAACTTGTCACTTTTAAGTTGTATGAAAAAGTTGGTCGGTCTCCTCGCACGTACCAACTTTTCATACAACTGTTGTACCAACTTTTCATTTACAAAGTATTTTTGAAGCGTCAACATGAACTCGGATGCTCTTGCGCTACTTGGAATTGATATAATTTTAGAGGAAGAAGAAGAAAGACAACTGCAGAGAAAGAAAAAGCTGAAGAAAAAAATATAGTCAAAGCAGTGGTTCATAAACAGAAATAAATTTTCCACAGTTCAGGCATTTTTTTATATTCCTCTATAAAATTGCGCATTGACGCTTCCTCTTCGCAATCACTCATTTTTATTTATGTTTTATTTTAGTTTTTTTCTTGTTTTGTTTTATGAATATGTTTTGTTTTCGTTTCTCTTCTTGCCCTCAGCGCTCAGCTTATGTGCTGCTTCACCAAAGTCAAGACATAAATGAAGAAAACACTGAAATTGGTACAACTTGCCCTCGCACGCACCAACAGTTGGCCCAACTTACGAAATTATCAACAATCTTTGATATTTCCAACCAACTTCAACCAACTTTCGAAAAAGTTGTACAACTAGCCCTCAGACGCACCAATAGTTGTACCAACTTGTCACAAGTTGGGCCAACTGTTGGTGTGTCTGAGGGCAGCTTTAGAACTTTTTGGCGACTTAAACTCATTTATTTGAGGACATGAAATGGAATTGACAATTTAAATTCAGTATTTGTGACCCATTAAACAGGTTTTAAAAATAAAAAAACCACCATTGTGATTGACAAACCCGCATGCTGTCAAAATAAGTATGTCTGGTTACTTTTCCTGCCGCCATTATGCAGCAACTTCTTTCTGAGAGAGTGAGGTAGTTTTATTCTCTTTTGCAAGAAAACTGTGAAAAGTAAACATACGGAATCCCTGCAAAAACTTGCAATCAGCTGATTACAAAAGCGACATTTTCCCAAAAAAAGAAATTAAAAACATAAAAATTTAAAATGAATCGAGAAACAAAACGATTGTGATTGCGTTTTTCAAAATAAATATCTTTGAAAATTACTTGCCCAAGTATACATTACCGCAAGGAGAAGAAGAAGAGTTGCAAAAAAACAACCCCAAGAATTTGCAAACTCTCAATGAAAGAACTGTCAAAATTGATCTCCCAAAACGCTTTCTTTTGCAAATCTTTTGTGTTAACCGACGACTCTCAATAACAATTTGCAACAATTGTTATACATTTTTTGTGTAACCAGACACACCTAATATTTTCTTTAATTCACAATTGCATGAAATTTGACAATATATATGAAATCAGCTTGTCTTATCGGATAACCTAACAAAAAATCCTTCAGTAAGACCAGCTGATTTTAAATTAATTGCTTTGTTCCAGAAACTGCAAGAATCTACTATTTTTGCAATTTTTTTCGATATCATAAATTGAAAATCGGTTAACGTAGTAAAATGTTTTACTTTTTTGCAGTTCTGGAACGGACCATGGTAGAATCAAGGAGGTAAATTCATGCAATCATATGTTTACAATTTTTTTAAAAAATATTTATTTGACAACATCTCAATGTCAAAATTTGTATTTATATACCCATTGTATATACACAAATCAGAGATGGGAACCTGTTTTTATGTAGTGAAATGTGGCAAGGTAAATTACAGAAAATGCAGAGATGGGAATGCTTATATGAAATGACTTTACCTTCTTAATTTTACCATGGAACGGACCAAATATTTCATAGTACTTTATTGTGATTGAACCCGTAATGATTTAAATAGTGAAAATGGAAGCAAAGGTGAGAGTACATAAAAAGCTTTTTTTGACCGGCTTAATTCATCGTCTGGTTTATTCGTAAAGGAACAAAGAGGGTCTAGGTTGACTTAGTTCGACTTTGGTCCTATGCTCCTTTGTCCTTTTCCGAAGAATCCAGCCGGTGACTTAAGCCAGTAGAACAAGCATTTTATGTATTCTCTCAGCATTTAATATTGGAAGCGCGTTAAAATTCACTTCATCTTCAATACTTACTGCGTTGATTTGCTGATTATCGCTTCCTGTAGAACATTCAATGTACTTCTTTTCAGCCTCGGATATAAACTTTGTATTACGCGGACTATCAGCACCGAAAATTAGGAATACCAAAGACCAAACAATACCAATGGCTCCGGTAATGTAAAATATGCCTGGCCAACCCATCTCAGAATCAAATATGCTGCCGCTAATGGCTAGCAATAGTGCCGTTCCAAATTCTGCACCAGAATAGACAATGCACGATAAGAAGCCTCTTTCTTGGCGTGGAACCCACTTGGCCAAGAGGGTGTGTGTGCATGGGTAGACAGTACCTTGGGTAAAACCGATTAAAACTCTTATTACGCAAACAAACACCCAGTCTCCCTTGTCCGCAATCAATGGATTTAGAATTGTTAAAATTGAACCGACGCACGTCGATATGCCTAGAACCAATTTTCCACCAAATCGTTTTGCCATTAAACTAGCAGGCATCTGGCATGCCACATAACCCCAAAAGAAGCTTGACAAGATGAGACTTTTCTTTGCTGGATCCCATTCGTAAAAGGGTTGATCTGCTGTGGGTTGTGTCATAGGAACAATAGCTGCTGATATATTTACACGAAGAAAGTAGCCAAAACACATTCCAAAGAACAGTAGAATGCTTTGGAAGTGACGAACTCCGAATACATTAGCTGCAAATAAAGAAAAAAAGGTAATTTTCAATATAACAGTTATAAATTAACGGCACTTTCAATTAGGATCTACTAATTGAATTTATTTGTACAATTCTGAATTGGTTATGGTTAAGCAACTCTATTTCTTGTTTAAGTTCAAAGTATATTGGAAAATGCAACTCTGTTGTAGAGTTTTACTGTGTCAAACAGGCTTCAAAAGCATGCAACAATTGGATCTGTTTATTTCAAAAATTCATGGTAAAAATAAGAAGATAGTCATTTTAAATAAGCATTCTCAGCTCTGCATTTTCTGTAATTTACCTTATCACTTTTCACTACATAAAAAACTGGCTCCCATCTCTGATTTAAGTATATACAATAGACTTATAGATATAAATTTTGACAGTGAGATGTTGTCAAATGTATAATTTTGAAAAAAATGTTACCATATGATTGTCTGACTTTACCTTCTTAATTCTACCATGAAAAATTCTTTGAATTAGGATTTTTAGGAGAAAAATATTGTTATTTGCCAGAATTGTAAAATGTCTGCCCTCTTAAAGGTAGTCACATGGTAGAATTAAGAAAGTAAAGCGTTGCAATTATTGCCAAAATTCATATTCATAAATCCATTGTATATTCACAAATCAGAGATGGGAATCCGTTTTCTATGCAGTAAAATTTGACAACGTAAATTACAGGAGATGCAGTGATGGAAATGCCTATTTGAAATGACTTTAACTTCTTAATTTTACCATGGGTAATCACATTTCTAATAATAACATCCAGATATGCATTTTATTGTCAAATATAATGTGGCGTTTCCACTGCACTTGATTCGCTCTCTATTCGTTGTTTGACCCCTAACTATGAAAAAACTACTTAATTCTTCACACAAAATTTCCTGAGCGAACACTTATATTTGTACATTGTTCAAATCAAATCACTCTCAGAACAACGAAAAAATGTGTCCCATCCCTAACAAATGAGAGCATTTATCGAAAAAATAAATTATGACATTTAAAAATTGAAAATAGAAAAATTTTATGAAATTTTGATAATTTTTGGGAAGACTGAAAATTATGAATGAAAACTACAATGTTGAATAGCGTATGTACATTCAAACGAAAGTAAATTTTGTTTTCTTTCTCATCCGAGGTACGCATTTTGTCCACGAGTTGAAATTTCCACAGAAAACTGGAAACAAAAGAAGCAATATTTTCAAAATGTTTGTATCGGCAGAAAAAATGTTTGACAAGTGTCTCTTCAGCAGAATTAAAAAACAGAAAAATACAAAAATATGTTAAAAATGTCAACATTTACACAAAACGTTGAAAACGTGAATGAAAATTATAAAATTAATGATATAATAAATCTTTGGGAGAAAAACAATAATTTCTTCTACTCATATTAGTGAGAATTTAATGTATTTTAGTATAAATTCCCATTAAAATCAACAAACAAAATTTTTGAAAAAATGAATTATTTTACTATGAATTACGAATCGTGCCGTATGAACGGGTTAGTTCGTGTACCTAATTCTGAGAGCGAACAACGTTGTTCGGTTTTCAATGGAAACATGCTATAACTTTATTGAAGATTTTAGTATGGCAAAATAATACAGGTAGCCGCATCAACATCAACAAAGAACTGTAATTTTTTTGAAATTCAAAATTTTTATTGTAAACTTGTTCAAAATTGTTGAAAATCAGATATCACAACACTCTCCCAACGGTACTGTATAAGAAAACATTAAAAAATTGACCCAATTTTACAAAAAATGAAATAATTTAACATATCAATGTTTACAAGTGCTGATGCATCTACTTGAAGATTTTGGAATAATGTAAAAATCTGTTACTGACTTAAGTCATGGGCTGCCTTCATCGTAAAGGAACAAGGGAGTTTTAGATTGACTAAGATCGATTTTGGACCTCTTTATTTACTTTCACCGTTAAAACAAATAGAGCAAAAGTCGGGAATCAAAGGCTTATTCACACCGAACATATTTTCATAAAGCGCGTTATTTAGATTGTCAATTCCTTTAATTATTCGTCAATTCCTTTAATTATTATTTAGGTGTCGGTGTAAAGTAGACATTAGCTGGTACTACTGTGAAACGTTACTATACGACATTGCATGTTCCATGGTAGAAGAATACAGGTAGTCGCTTCGTCGCAGCTGCAGGTACAATGAACTGTCAAACCAATTTTGAAATTGAAAATTTTGAAGGAAATATCATTTAAATTTCTAAAAATTGTTGAAAATAGCATGTCATAACAACCTCAGATTGGTGCCGTATAAGAAAACTAACAAAAATCTACACGCCTTTGAAAAAAACACATTTAAAAAATGTTGACATATCTATGTTCCCAAGCGTTGATGCTTCAACCCATGGTACAATAAGGAGGTAGAACAGCTTCGTAAAACTACAGAAATACAACCCTGAGGCTATGCCTGTCAGAATTATACAAAATTATAGGCAACAATTTTTTTCATTGATTTGATATCTTTTGTTCATTTTTGAAATGAGTTAAATAGCGCAAAAAATAAAGAAATTAATTAATAAATTTCCTTAAAAAAATATGATCTAAACTGTTCGATCTTTCAATTCCATGGCAAAACTTGCGAATAGCTTTAATGCACGTTGCGCAATTCACGATTCTTTCAATCATTGATTTTGAAAATATAATTTGTTTTTCAAAACAATAAATACATACACAAAATTGGCAGAAGTCGGGCACACTTAGAAAAAATTGCAACCAGCTGGTAGCTCTACCTTACCTTTTTATTGTACCATACTTCTACCTATATTCTTCTACTTTGACATGTTCATTGAGTAATCCAAGGTTTACATGAATATATCCAACAAATAAATACTATGTTCCAAATTGGAACTATTTTTTTTTTCAATGCCTTAAGGTTCTCCTTACGGTTATCGTATTAAGATTTTTATATTATTGTAAGTTCTGGAACAGAGCCAAAATGTTTTGGTAGAACCTTTTCAAGCAAATCTCTTCGGCATTGACACAAGGTTAAGCAATCTCACTCACGTCTTTCCACATTGTGATCAGAAGTATCAGATGGTGCTAATACTCCCATGACTTTTTTCTACTTCTCTTTTTATATATATATTTAATGGGTTTTAGTTCCTCGTGATGTGTTGTCACCCAAATACTGTTATTAACTAAAACGGATGGTACCATTGTCGAGGGCTTTTAATGCTCGCGCACTTCAGATCATGCTAATAGATTAGACCCTTAACGATATTTGGGCAACACTTCAAGACAACGATTATCTTCAAATTATCTTTCTGTTGACGGTTGACAGTAATTAGCCGAATTTATAAGATAAAACTGACCCCCATGGAATATTTTTCTTTTATTTAATTGCTATCAGTAGTATATTGTAACACATTATCATTATAATGTATAAACATTTAGCAACCAGGGTTAAATATTAATTAACTAATGATATGATAGTCGAAATAAATTTTGACTTTTTCCCTGTCAACGGACAATTTTAATAAATACGAAATAATAAACAATTTTTTAAATGATAATTGATAAACAAACCATTTATAAATGTCCAATCAAACTAGCCAAATTACGACTAATGGCACTTGAAAATGTTAAATCATCGGCACAGTGTTTTTATATCAAAATAAGCAATGAAATCAGTCATATCTGTTGTGCCACCCACAACAACAACTTGTACATTTAAGATGAATTAGATTACTTTCCGTTAATTTGAAAATTTGAATTGTAAAGTACATTTTTATTAGGTCTGTCTGGTTGTTTATTCAGCAGTACTTTTTCAGCAATTTTTTTAGAGAATAAGGAAGTTGTATACTCTGATGCAATATAACTGTGAAAAGTAAACAGACGGAATCCTTGCATGAACTTGCGAAACAAAAAGGCTGGAGGTGAGAATACATAAAACGCTTTTTTGACTAGCTTAAAGGTGCAAGTACATAAAAAGCTTGAAGTCATGGCTAGGCATACTAATGTCAAATTATAATGGAAAATGACGGCAGGATTTTAGTGCGGCTCTGTAATCCCTTCACAAAATAGGCCTAGCCATGACTTCATGCTTCTTATGTACTTACACCCTAAGTCATCGCCTGGCTTCTTCGGAAACAAACAAAGGAGCCTAGAGCCAATATCGATCTAAGTCAATCCAAAACTCCTTCGTTCCTCGTTTTCCATTCATTTAGTATCCATTCATTCCATTCTTTACTATTTGCAAAATGAAGATGTTAAAAGTGCTTATTTTAGTAAATCACCAGAAGGAAAAGAATAAGAGTTGGAAGTAATTGCAAGAAGAAATTTGTTCAGCAAAAAACTTCAAACTTTTAGTAAAATCACTTTCTGTACTTTTTCGATCACAACAAGACCTATTTTCATCGGAAAATATAAGGGTTGTTCCAGAACCCGCAAGAATCTCTCATTTTGCAATTTCTTTCGATATCATTAAGGGAATATCTGTTATCGTAGTAAAAACGATTACATTCTTGCAGTTCGGGAACAAACCACACGTGTAAAACCCATTTCGCCTGATGTGGCGTTTCCACTGCACTTGATTCGCTCTCAATTCGTTGTTTGACCCTTAACAATGAAAAAACTACTTAATTCTTCACACAAAATTTCCTGAGCGAACAATCATATTTGTACATTGTTCAAATTAAATCACTCTCAGAACAACAAAAAAATATGTCCCATCCCTAACAAATGAGAGCATTTATCGAAAAAATAAATTATGACATTTAAAAATTGAAAATAGAAAAATTTTATGAAATTTTGAAAAATTTTGGGAAGACTGAAATTTATGAATGAAAACTACAATGTAGAATAGCGTATGTAAATTCAAACGAAACTAAATTTTGTTTTCTCTCTCATCCGAGGTACACATTTTGTCCACGAGTTGAAATTACCACAGAAAAGTGGAAACAAAAGAGGCAATATTTTCAAAATGCTTGTATCGGCAGAAAAAATGTTCGACAAGTGTGTCTCCAGCAGACTTAAAAATAGAAAAAATACAAAAATATGTTCAAAATGTCAACATTTACACAAAAAGTGGAAAACGTCAATGAAAATTATAAAATTAATGATATAATAAATCTTTGGGAGAAAAATAATCATTTCTTCTATTCATATTAGTGCGAATTTAATGTATTTTAGTATAAATTCCCATTAAAATCAACAAACAAAATTTTTGAAAAAATGAATTATTTTACTATGAATTACGAATCGTGCCGTATGAACGGGTTAATTCGAGTACCTAATTCTGAGAGCGAACAACGTTGTTCGGTTTTCAATGGAAACATGCTATAACATTTGCTTTAATTCATAATTGCATGAAATTTGACAATATATATGAAATTAGCTGGTCTTATCGGATAACCTTACAAAAAATCCTTTACTAATACCAGCTGTTTGTAAATTAATTGCTTTGTTCCAGAAACTTCATGGTACAAGAATCCAAGTAAATGCATCAACGGTTGGGAACATTGATATGTCAACATTTTTTTGATGTTTTGCATTTTCTTTTCGATAGTATAAAGGGAAAATCGGTTATCGTAAAAGGTTTTGCATTCTTGCAATTCTGGACAGACCAAATATCGCATAGTACATTATTGAACCCGTAAAAAATTCAATAATATAAATGAACATTCAATAATGTAAACACGCTAAAATTCACTTCATCTTCAATACTTACTGCATTGATTTGCTGATTATCGCTTCCTGTAGAACATTCAATGTACTTCTTTTCAGCCTCGGATATAAACTTTGTATTACGCGGACTATCAGCACCGAAAATTAAGAATACCAAAGACCAAGCAATACCAATGGCTCCGGTAATGTAAAATATACCTGGCCAACCCATCTCTGAATCAAATATGCTGCCGCTAATGGCTAGCAATAGTGCCGTTCCAAATTCTGCACCAGAATAGACAATGCACGATAAGAAGCCTCTTTCTTGGCGTGGAACCCACTTGGCCAAGAGGGTGTGTGTGCATGGGTAGACAGTACCTTGGGTAAAACCGATTAAAACTCTTATTACGCAAACAAACACCCAGTCTCCCTTGTCCGCAATCAATGGATTTAGAATTGTTAAAATTGATCCGACGCACGTCGATATGCCCAGAACTAATTTTCCACCAAATCGTTTTGCCATTAGACTAGCCGGCATCTGGCATGCCACATAACCCCAAAAGAAGCTTGACAAGATGAGACTTTTCTTTGCTGGATCCCATTCGTAAAAGGGTTGATCTGCTGTAGGTTGTGTCATAGGAACAATAGCCGCTGATATATTTACACGAAGAAAGTAGCCAAAACACATTCCAAAGAACAGTAAAATGCTTTGGAAGTGGCGAACACCGAATACATTAGCTGTAAATAAAGAAAAAATGTAGTTGTTAATATTACAGTTATAAATTAACGGAACTTTCAATCAGGAACTTCTAATTGAACTTATTTGTACTATTTTGAATTGAAACTCTATTTCTTGTTAACTTCAAAGGATATAGAAAATGCAACTCTGTTGTAGAGTTTTACTGTGTCAAATAGGTTTTCAAAGCATGTACCAATTGGATCTGTTTATTTCAAAAATTCCATGGAAAAATTAAGAAGATAAAGTCATTTCAAAAAAGCATTCCCAGCTCTGCATTTTCCGTATTTTATCTTGTCACATTTCACTACATAAAAAACAAGTTCCCATCTCTGAAATGTTGGCAGTGAGATGTTGTCAAATGTATAATTTTGAAAAAAGTAAAAAAAGCCATAAGATTGTCTGACTTTACCTTCTTAATTCTACCATGAAAAATTCTTTAAATTAGGATTTTTAGAAGGAAAATATTGCTATATGTCATAATTGTAAAATGTGTCCCCTCTTAACGCATAAATAATTCAAGATAATCACATGGTAGAATTAAGAAGGTAAAGTTATGCAATCATATGTTTACAATTTTTTCAAAAATATTCCTTTGACAACATCTCATTGTCAAAATTGCCAAAATTCATATTCATAAATCCATTGTATATTCACAAATCAGAGATTTCTTTGCAGTGAAATTTGACAAGGTAAATTCCAGAAAATGCAGAGATGGTAACGCTTTTTTGAAATGACTTTACCTTCTTAATTTTACCATGTGTAATCACACTTAAAATAATAGCATCCAGCTCTGCATTTTATGTAATTGACCTTGCCAAATATAACTTTATTATCGATTTTTGTATGGCAAAATATAACAGCTGACTGTACAAAGAACTGTCAATTTTTTTGAAATTCAAAATTTTTATTGAAAACTTTGTCAAAATTTTTGAAAATTCGATATCACAACACCTTTTGAATGGTAATGTATAAGAAAACATTTTAAAAATTTACTCAATTTTACAAAAAAAAATCAATAATTTAGACATATCAATGTTTACAAGTTCTGATGTATCTACTTGTAGATTTTTGAATGATTTCGATACCATAAAGTAAAAATCTGTCATTGTGATAACATCTGTTCCAGGACCTGCGAGAATCTACTAATTTTGCAGTTTTTCGATATCGTAAAGGGAAAATCGGTTATCGTAATAACAAATTTTACATTCTTGCAGTTATCGAACAGACCAGTTCTTGCATTCTTAGAGCAAGTACACCAAGAGGAAGGAAGCAAAGGCTAATTCCCACCGAACGTAATTTTATAAAACGCGTTATTTAAATTGTCAGTTCCTTTGATTTAGTTCAAATTAATGAGAAATCTTCGTAAAACTAGTTATTTAGATGTCTGTGAAAAGTAGACATTCGCTGTTCTGTTGTCATTTTTCGAAACAGCTGATGGACAATGAACTGTCAAAATAATTTTGAAATTGAAAATTTTAAATGAAAAATTATTTAAATTTGTAAAAATTGTAGAAAATGCATATCATAACAACCTCCGTTTGGTGTCGTATAAGAAAACATAAAAACCTATTTTTATTTGAAAAACATTTAAACATTTGTGACATATCAAAAGCGTTGATGCATTTACCTGTTTTCTTCTATCATGCCTGCTGTGAAACATGTGAAACATTACATTACGAGCATGGTAGAAAAATACAAGTGTTTTTTCAAATATAAGTAGATTTTAATAAGTTTTCTTATACGACACCAATAGGAGGTTGTTATGATATGCATTTTCTACAATTTTAACAAATTTGAATAATTTTTCATTTAAAATTTTCAATTTCAAAATTGTTTTGACAGTTCTTTGCGGCAGCGACTGGGTCGATGTGACTATCTCATGGTAGAAGAATACATGTAGATGCATAAACGCTTGGGAACATTGATATGTCAAAAAATGTTTGATGCCTTTTCAAATATAAGTAGATTTTTATATATTTTCTTATACGACGTCATTCGGAGGTTATAATAATACGCATTTTTCAACCATTTCTACAAATTTAAATAATTTTTCATTCATAATTGGCTTGACAGTTCATTGTCCCAGCAGCTGTGTCGATGCGTCTACCTATATTCATCTACCATGGACTATCTGTATTCTTCTACAATGTTTACGGCATGGAATGTAATTGAGTAATCCAAGGTTTACATGAATATATCCAAAAAATAAATGTTATATTCCTATTGGTACTATTTTTCATTGCCGTAAACGATAAATCGGTTATCGTATTAAGGTTTTTATATTCTTGTAGGTTCTGAAACAGAGCCAAAATGTTTTGGTAAAACCTTTTCCAGCAAATCTCTTCGGCATTGACACAAGGTTAAGCAATCTCACTCACGTCTTTCCACATTGTGATCAGAAGTATCAGATGGTGCTAATACTCCCATGACTTTTTTCTATTTCTTTTTTTTTTTTAAATGTGTATACTAAATTTGTTTTTATTTCCTCGTGATGTGTTGTCACCCAAATACTGTTATTAACTAAAACGGATGGTGCCATTGTCGAGGGCTTTTAATGCTCGCGCACTTCAGATCATGCTAATAGATTAGACCCTTAACGATATTTGGGCAACACTCCAAGACAACGATTATCTTCAAATTATCTTCTCTGTTGACTGTTGACAGTAATTAGCCGAATTTATAAGATAAAACTGACCCCATGGAATATTTTTCTTTTATTTAATTGGTATCAGTAGTATATTGTAACACTTTATCATTATAATGTATAAACATTTAGCAACCAGGGTTAAATATTAATTAACTTATGATATGATAGTCGAAATAAATTTTGACTTTGTCCCTGTCAACGGACAATTTTAATAAATACGAAATAATAAACAATTTTTTAAATGATAATTGATAAACAAACCATTTGAAATGTCAAATCAAACTAGCCAAATTACGACTAATGGCACTTGAAAATGTTAAATCATCAGCACAGTGTTTTCATATCAAAATAAGCAATGAAATCAGTCATATATGTTGTGCCACCCACAACAACAACTGGTACATTTAAGATGAATTAGATTGCTTTCCGTTAATTAGAAGATTTGAATTGTAAAGTACATATTTATTAGGTCTGTCTGGTTGTTTTTTCAGCAGTACTTTTTCAGCAACTTTTTTTTAGAGAATAAGGAAGTTGTATACTCTGATGCAATATAACTGTGGAAAGTAAACAGACGAAATCCCTGCATAAACTTGCAGCCGAAAAACAAAACAAATAGGCTTGAGGTGACAATATATAAAGCGCTTTTTTGACTAGCTTAAAGGTGCAAGTACATAAAAAGCTTGAAGTCATGGCTAGGCATACTAATGTCAAATTATAATGGAAAATGACGGCAGGATTTTAGTGCGGCTCTGTAATCCCTTCACAAAATAGGCCTAGCCATGACTTCATGCTTCTTATGTACTTACACCCTAAGTCATCGCCTGGCTTCTTCGGAAACAAACAAAGGAGCCTAGAGCCAATATCGATCTAAGTCAATCCAAAACTCCTTCGTTCCTCGTTTTCCATTCATTTAGTATCCATTCATTCCATTCTTTACTTTTTGCAAAATGAAGATGTTAAAAGTGCTTATTTTAGTAAATCACCAGAAGGAAAAGAATAAGAGTTGGAAGTAATTGCAAGAAGAAATTTGTTCAGCAAAAAACTTCAAACTTTTAGTAAAATCACTTTCTGTACTTTTTCGATCACAACAAGACCTATTTTCATCGGAAAATATAAGGGTTGTTCCAGAACCTGCAAGAATCTCCTAATTTTGCTATTTTTTTCCATATCATAAAGGGAAAATTGGTTATCATAGTAAAAACTGTTACATTCTTGCAGTTATGGAACAGACCAATAATTTAATCAAAAGTTTTGTTTGTTTGTATTGTGAAAATATATAAAATTAAATTTGCAGTAAAAAGTATTGTGTCGTATAAGAAAACTTATAAAAATCTACTAAGTTTTGAAAAAAAAAAAACATTTTAAAAATATTGACATATCAATGTTCCCAAGAATTGTTGTGTTGATTTTACACCATCGCTCTGTTCCAGTACCCGCAAGAATCTCTCATTTTGCAATTTCTTTCGATATCATTAAGGGAATATCTGTTATCGTAGTAAAAACGATTACATTCTTGCAGTTCGGGAACAAACCACACGTGTAAAACCCATTTCGCCTGATGTGGCGTTTCCACTGCACTTGATTCGCTCTCAATTCGTTGTTTGACCCTTAACAATGAAAAAACTACTTAATTCTTCACACAAAATTTCCTGAGCGAACACTTATATTTGTACATTGTTCAAATCAAATCACTCTCAGAACAACGAAAAAATGTGTCCCATCCCTAACAAATGAGAGCATTTATCGAAAAAATAAATTATGACATTTAAAAATTGAAAATAGAAAAATTTTGGGAAGACTGAAATTTATGAATGAAAACTACAATGTAGAATAGCGTATGTAAATTCAAACGAAACTAAATTTTGTTTTCTCTCTCATCCGAGGTACACATTTTGTCCACGAGTTGAAATTACCACAGAAAAGTGGAAACAATATTTTCAAAATGCTTGTATCGGCAGAAAAAATGTTCGACAAGTGTGTCTCCAGCAGACTTAAAAATAGAAAAAATACAAAAATATGTTCAAAATGTCAACATTTACACAAAAAGTGGAAAACGTCAATGAAAATTATAAAATTAATGATATAATAAATCTTTGGGAGAAAAATAATCATTTCTTCTATTCATATTAGTGCGAATTTAATGTATTTTAGTATAAATTCCCATTAAAATCAACAAACAAATTTTTGAAAAAAGGAATTATTTTACTATGAATTACGAATCGTGCCGTATGAACGGGTTAATTCGTGTACCTAATTCTGAGAGCGAACAACGTTGTTCGGTTTCCAATGGAAACATGCTATGATAATGCTTGAATAATGTCCTTCAAACACTTATGGGAGCATGTTATAAAATGATAAAATCGATGAAGTAAGTGGGAACATGTTATAAATAATCGATTTTTACATTTCATTTTCACATCAATTAATCGATTACATTAAAGTTCGATTGTATAAACGTGCTAAACGATAATTCCGCGTTCCTTTGGTGAATGTGTGTTCAAACCACTTATGTTGTCGGCCGTTTTGTTTTGATTCAATTTGTGTTGTCGGCCTCTCTGTTATGTTCACATCTTTATTCAGATCTCTTTGTACTGTTCTTCCAGTGTTGTAGTGTTGTCTCTTTCTCGGTGGCGTCGCTTTGAGGTGGCGTGGCTTGAGTAAAAATGTAAAAAATTAATTAATTAACTAAAAAAAATAAAAAAAATAAATAAATTAACTAAAAAATACCGTTGCAGATTCACCTGGATCTCCACAGTCCTAATAAGCATGTATGTTCCCTGTGCGGACTTAAATTGAACTCGAGGGCTTCGTTTTTTTATTGTTAATATGCCTATACTGTGCAAATCTAATTGTGGCAATAAAGCAGTTCTTAAGGTAACTAAGAGTTTAATTTCATTGAATTTATATTATTTATATTAATTCGAAACAACAATTTCTAGCGTCCGAAAACAGCAGATGCATTGTGCAAGGAATGCTTTTTTGCTGCCTTTGAGGCTGAGATTCATCACACAATTACTTCCAGTAAACTGTTTAGACATGGCGAAAAGGTGGCAGTAGCAGCAAGTGGTGGTAAGGACTCCACTGTATTGGCACATGTGTATGTATTGGTGTTTCAACTGCGAAATTGAATAATTAATTTTTTTGATTGCAGTTTAAAACTTCTCAATGAACGTCACAATTATGGTTTGGAATTAGTATTGCTGTCCATCGATGAAGGCATTACAGGCTATCGGGATGACAGCTTGGAGACGGTAAAGAAGAATCGTGATGACTATGAAATGTCGTTGAAAATTTTGTCATATGAAGAGCTTTATGGCTGGACAATGGATCGAATAGTTGCACAAATCGGCAGATCGAATAATTGTACATTCTGTGGAGTGTTTAGAAGGCAAGCGTTGGACAGAGGTGCCAAATTGTTGGGTGTGGACAGCATAGCGACGGGACATAATGCGGATGATATTGCCGAAACCGTTATTATGAATATCTTACGTGGCGATACGGCCAGATTGAGCCGTTGTACCGACATTAAGACCGGTGGAAGTGAAGATTCTATACCAAGAGTGAAACCTCTCAAGTATACATATGAGAAAGAGATTGTAATGTATGCCCATTACAAGAAACTAGTTTATTTTTCTACGGAATGTGTTTTTGCACCAAATGCTTATAGAGGCCACGCTCGAGCATTCCTCAAGGATTTGGAAAAGGTCAGACCATCGGTAATTATGGATATAATACATTCGGGTGAACAGCTACGATTTAAGGATACTGTAAAGAAACCTACACGAGGAATATGCGAAAGGTGTGGTTTCGTATCATCTCAGCAACCCTGTAAAGCCTGTGTACTGCTGGAAGGTCTAAATAGAGGTCTACCAAAGCTGGGCATTGGTAAAAAATCAAAAGGTGACCGAATGATTGCGAATCAGGAGAAGGAAATGGCACTGAGAGATAAAGCGAATCTAGTTAAAAATGATTTTTAGTCAAATAAATAAATGGTCAAATTTAACTAGAAAAGTGTGATATGAATTTTATTATAATTGTATGTTTTTTACAACGACAAAAAACGTTAAAAATAAATATTTTCGGAGTAAAAAAATGATACCCATTAAAATGCGGGGAAAACAGGTAATTGCTTTGATTATATAGGACAAATTCGTATATTTATTCGTAAAGATGCAATTCAATTGCATACTTCTAGGCGGACTATTTAATGAATTCAATGCTTTATTTCGAGCAGCAAAAATTAAATAAATTGTTCCATTTCACCAACTAAACTTGGGGAAGATAGCAAGGAAGACGTTAATGGCTTCATGCATACTTTTGGGAGCAAATAAAAATTAGTCTGTTCGAAGCCGAATTTGTTTAAAGAAAAAAATCCTGACCTCACAAACTATTTACAGCGTATACTCACCGAGTTCATGCTTCAAAAGGTCCTTATAAAATTGTATGTGAGGTATTTAATTTCGAAATGTGTTCCGTCTATCGATGCTTTATCGTTTTGCAAGTCGTAAAACCAAACATTAACTAAAAAACTAGATTATTTTGATACGTTGTAGAAGACAACGATCCCGATGTATGAAATATAGCCGAAATTTACAACCGGTGGGACCGAACCAAAATTCCTTCTATATTACATCCATTTTACTAATTAATAAAATAACAGAATTTTGATTGAAATATATTTATTTATTGGGATTTTTTATTACAAATTAATTCCACACTGCCGCACACCACACACAAGCATCACAATAAGATTTCCAACCTGAAAATTAAAAAAAATATTAATAAAAATATCCTTTTTGATATAGACTTTTTTAATTGAGAATATTGGGTCAGAGCCATTTTCTAACCAGGGTCCACAATTAATTAAAACTAGACTTCCAAACAACAAAAGAATATTGAAGCAGGTTGTCGATGTTTTAATTTGTTTGTGGTGTCTGTGAATGGTTTATAATATCATCATTCAAAGGAGATTCTTTCGTATTAATGACTTTGTTATATTTACCTTTAGGATATACTTCCTCCATAGATTACAGGGCATCAGCATTCCAAATTTTCTTGCAAAAATGCTGAAATAAAATAGATTATTGTAGTAATGTAATGAAGGATATTTCTTTCTAATTTATTATTGTTATATTGGGAATCAGAGCCATTATATAACCATGGTCCACAACTGATTAAAACAAGACTTCCAAACAACAAAAGAATATTGAAGAAGGTTGTCAATGTTTTAATTTGTTTGTGGTGTCTGTGAATGGTTTATAATATCATCATGCAAATCCCACAATCCAATTTACAAATGCTCTGTTCCAGTACCTGCCAGAATCTACTAGTTTTGCAATGTTCTTCGATATCACCAAGGGAGAATCGGTTATCGTTGTAAAATATCTTACATTCTTGCAGTTCTGGAACAGCCTATAAATCATAAATAAGGAACATTTAGTTTATAATATTTACCTTTTTCGGCATTTGGAGCTCGGGTCGGGTGAATGAGTTGTCTTGCCTAGAATATAAAAAAAATATTAAAGTATATTCAAATAATTGAACTACTTCATTATAAGAAAAAAGTATCCACTCCACAAATACATATGCTCCGCAAATATTGGTTAAATCTATTTGGGTATTGCTTGGGTGGAGGGGTTTTTTATGCGAACACATATATAGCACTTTAAAGCAGTGGCATATCTGCAAAATAGCGACTCTGTAGTTCGCGAAAAGTATAAGAATAAAAGTTACCTTTTGGAAAGTTTTTCCAAGATACGAGCAAAGAGTCCACAACCGTTTATAATAAATTGGGAGAGAATCTACAAATAAAAAATACATGATGATAAGTAATACAGTTCGAAAAAAGCAAATCAACTAAAATCCTCAAAGTTTTCAGTTATGTTTATAGAAAATCAATGATATTCATAAGAGATGTCAGAAAATTTAAAACTAATCATCATTGCCAATACAACTCGGGAATAAGTCTTGAAAAATACACACCTTATTCAAAACATTTCACGATTTTAGAGGACTAATCTTCATCCGGCTGTAATTTAGATATCTAAAAATACAATAGAAATGATATGTTAATACTGAAAATCACAATTTAATAATATTAAGATTCAACTCTAAAACAATGTAAGCTCCAAAAAAAAAAATATGCTCCGCAAATCTATATAAAATCAATTTGGGTATTGCTTGGATGAAGTTTGCTTAATCTGCGAACACATGTTTAGCACTTTAAAGCAGTGGAATACTTATCTGCAGAATAGCGACTCTGTGGTTCGCGTGAGTTTGGCTTAAAATAAAACTAATTCAATGGCTGCTTACCGTTTCATAATGTTGATGGTCATGATCATCACATCTTGGGAATAAATCACCAAACCATAACCTACAAAAGAATAAAACAAAACGTTATTGAATGGAACTTAGGTATATGCAAAATATTAATAATAATTGTTTTAATATTCAGAATAAGTTTATGTAAAATCAATATTATTCATAAGAGATGTCAGAAAATTTATAAACTAATCATCATTGCCAAAAGGGTCAAACAATTTTGATATGACAATAGCTTACCATTTGTGAGTGCAATTTCCTTCATCGCCCATAATGAGAAGACCAAGGGACCTAGAAAAGATAGATTTATAGATTTAGTAGATGAATACAAATATAAACTAAGTGGAATGGAACAATCAACATTAAGCCCCTTTTAGTGAAGATTATAAGGTTATGTTTCTCAAACATTGTTGTAATAGGTACTAGACCGCATAGCTTTTTAGTATTTCACATTGCGGCGATAGATATTACATTATTCTTGCAGCAAAAAAGAGTTCCACAACCAAAGCAATTGAATCTTTTGGTCATAGTTATATAAACTGCATAGAAATTAGCCAATTTATAGCTTAATTCTATAGAGCAAGTCGTTGGAATTCGATGTAATGCTCTTCAAACTTAAAGCACTTAATATGGCGAAATGTTTGTCTTTTTGTAATAATAGCACTTACAAAAGTATATAAATTTCGCCACAAGAAAGCAAGAAATTAAAGGTTTCTCAACACTTACATTGTTTCATAAAATTAACTAGCTTCCACAAAATACTCGTAGTTTATAATTATCAACATAGTTCGCTTTATGTTGAAAGAAAAACATATTGAATTTGTTTAAGGATTTCACAGAAAATCGCGGATTAAAATTTTTATTTTTAATGTATTACAAAAGATTCTCTTAAATATATATCAAGAACCGGCCAACAACGTGTACACTCCTCCGTGTTTTTTGTAGTAGAGAAGATATTTCTATCATCAGGGACACCTAAGTCGACTTTAGACAAATCGATTAGTAAATTTACATTTAAGTCAGATACACACTATCGATCAAATGGTGAATAATAATGATGTGTTCCAACGGAAAATTGAATAAATTAATATAAATTTGGAAATGGTAAAACCAGAAATATAGGTTTATTTTAATAGAGATAAGAACAAGTAAAATAGTATCAGCCGTTTTTGCCGACAGATATATACCCCAGCCTTCAGTTATGATTATGGGGGAGGTTCCGAAGCAGTTGGCCAATATTGATTAATTCGTAACTAACCTAAGATGAATATACATATTACAAGGTACCAGATTTGGACTACATCGACTACTTTCTATACTTTATATCATATATTTGCAAATTTTTGGAAAATATGGAAATATGTGTGAAGTATTCCATTTTCATACTTCATCTAATGCAGATAAAAGATTGGTATGTGCAAAATTTGAACATTTATATCCAATTTTATGCGAAATCATAAATTTCGATAAATTACCTATTCATATCAGATTTCTGGTTAAGATAAATATTTAGATATAGCAAGGTGTAAAGAATCGTCGACTTGTTTCGCAAGTTTTGACAGATAAAAGTATTGAAAATCCGATACTTATATCACATTTTATAAGAGTTATATTTATTAAAAATTTTGACCCTTTGTGGGGGAGTTAATCGATGAAATGGACTGTCGTGCGCACAGGCTAGCCAGACAGACAGACGGACGGACATCGCTAGATCGACTCTAAATGTCCTGAAACGGAAAGAGACCTAGTGTCTAAAACCGTATTAGAGTTTTATGTTAAGAAAATCTTCAAAGCACAAATAAAATGTTAGTGTTATTCCACTAAATGGATACAAAAACATTGTTTTATCCGAAAAATTAAAAATATTTGCCCATTAGCATCGAGTATGTGAACTTTTGTGGTAAGTGTGAACGTAGTTTTACAACAATACCTGTTAAATGGGGAATGTAAACTGTACAAAGTATTCAGTATTTTTTATGTTAGTAATTGGTATATCACCTCTCCATCACTAGGAAGAACGGTACATTTGAATCGTCGGTGTTTTTTAAGCGTTCCATTACTTCTAATAAAAAACTTGGTGACAAAATCCTCTAAGGATGGCACTTAAAATTGAAGAGGCCATGGATTTATCCTTGGGTAAACTATTGTGGTATTTCAAAGTATATTTTCTAATAAATATTTCGCTTCTAGACGAATATATAGCGATGACCAAGAAAACCGATGAAACTAGGAAAGCCCCAGTAACAGCGCCAACAACACCTGCGAACAGCAACAATGACGCCAAGTTTGGACGACGTAGAAGTAATGTGGAAGAGGATGAAGATGATCTTGATTTATTCGTAAATGAAGATGAACTTTTGAACGACGAGACGGAAACGACGGTAAATGGCAATGATACGGGTATATGGAAGGGGCCTGATTCCACAATTGCCTATTTAGATTGCAGTAGTCGACAGCAGGATTTACGAGAACGAATTAACAGCAATAATAATAATGGCAGAAAACAACAAATATCGGCTGTTCAATATCGCCTAATGGCCCCCAATAATTCCGCTGATCGTCCACGTGGGTTACCTACACTATTGCCTTTGGATGCATATGTCAAGAAACAAAACAATGGCAATAATAGATGGAATAATAATCAAGGTGGCAGAAAACGTAATAGAAATCGTGGAAATCAAAATGGTTTCAATAATAACAATCGTAACAATAACTGGAATAATTTGGTGAATGGTATTTCAACGGCCAACAATGGTCGTATTCAGCGCAATAGGAACCAGGATTACAGGTATATAATAGGATGGCTATTTTATGTAGCGGATCGTTCAACATAGCATTTGGCAAACTAACTGACAAAACATTTACACATTTGGCCTCATTAATAATCTTAAAAATTTAATATAAAAAATTCTATAAAATTAATTTTAAAATCCAAAAATTTAAACGACAAAAATCTAAGCATTGATTTTTACGCAAGTAAAATTCAAATTTATTTAAAAGCATTTTTTTTAAATTATCCCTCTTTTTACCCATTCCAGCAAAAATTTAAGACTAACGGTGGACTGCAATGAGTTGCTAGCCCCAACTATCAATAACAATAACAAACCCAAAAACATATACATAGAATGTCCAAGAATTTCGCATAACAAGAACACAAATCTAAATTCGAGTTTTCAAATGCAATCTGCCCATATGCAAGATGATTCTAGGAATAGATTCATTCCCATTGGAAATCCAACACCCCAAGCTCAAGCAGCATTAAATCTGCAATCAAATACAATGCCGCAAATGGCTACAAACAGCACAAGTGATAGTCTCAAAGACTTGTTGGGATTTCAGGGCAATTTGGCTGGTGATATGATGCCAGTATTTGCCTCACGGCTCTTAGATCTAATTAAAAATAATGTTCAACCTGCTGTTCATAAACCCATCTATGATATGAAAATTCAAAAGGATATACACGAATTACAGGTAAGAGTTACATTTTTGGTAATTAACAAAGAAACTCATTTAACACGCTGCTTTATCTGCAGAAAAAACCGCTTATATATAAATGCCCTGGTGGCGATGTGGTAAGCTCAGATGGTGCTGGAGTTAATTGTCAAATTACACCGAATACAAGTGGTATTTCAATGAACTGTCGTTTTGCTTAGAGTTTCACCAAAATAAAAATTATTGAATGAATGAATTACTTTACATATTTGAGTTACTACTTTTATTTTCTTAAATCCAGTGAAATCAAATGTTACTTTTTTATTCTTAATTTGTATTTTTACAAAGTCTAATAACTATAAGCTGATCATTTAAAATTGAAAAATTGATTGTTTTAATAAAGCATACATTTAAGAGAGATAAAAGATGTGAATACTGTTTTTAGATCTTAGAAATTTTACCATTCATTTGGGAGGCGGATCCTAAATTATGAAAAAAAAATTAACAAAAAGAACGTTCGTTTTATTCAAAATACTATAGGAATTGTATTTGAAATTACATATAATCGATTGTAATACATTTTATTTGTAATCAAAATTCGTATGCCAACGTATGTATTGAGAAAAAAAATGAGTGCTAGGTCAGGTGCGAAAATGGACAATATCGGTCCACTCCAGTACCTCTCCACAAAAAGGTCAACATTTTGAATAATTACAACTCATTAAATGTGATAAATGAATATGTCCGATTGTATTCAAATTACACAAATCACAATATTTTTATTAATCCAAGGTCCGGTGTGAAGATGGAAAATATCGGTCCACTCCTTCTGGTATCTCCCCCACAAAGGGTCAAAATTAAAATATATTAAATTCATAAAGTGTAAAATTAGCACCCGATTCCATTCATACTTGGCACATCTCAATATTTCCATCAAACCGAGATCTGTTATAACGATGAAGGCCATAATTCGTGCCAAAGATGACCAATTCGAACAAATCTATACTTATTCTAAAGTTTGATGCTATTCCGACATTTTTTGCTTTCATTAAAAAAAAAATTAAAAAAAAATGTAAATAAATTATGGCATTTGTACTAATCAATAAAGTCTTAAGTCAATTAAACTCTTTCCTAAGTTTTTAAAATATTTGCCAAAATTGTTTAACTTAACCTACCTTCTCTTCTTTTCACCATGTTTGGACCCAAGTATGAGTCCTTTTAAAATTTATCAACATTTTTATCTTTATTCAAAATTCTTTACTTCATTTCCTCAGTAAGGAGTGTTCATAAATTATTATATAAATAAAAATCTTGAAACATCCCTTTTAAATTATAATGTACTAATCAATAAAGCCTTAAGCCAATTGAACTCTTTCCCAGGTTTTAAAAATGTCAAGTTGTGTGCTAGTGGACCATTTACACTAGCCAGGAGAAGAACTGAAATCCAAATGCATTTAAAATGTTTAGGATATTCACTTATTTTAAACTATTTCAAACTTAACGGCATAAAATGTCATCGTTAAGTAATCAGCTGTTCTTCAATCTATTCATAATGCACATTCTGTCATCTTGACATTACTTGAAAAAGAGAAGCGTAGTGGGAGCAATAATGAAATATTAAACATTGAAATGGCTCTACTTCAAAAAGTGGAAATATTACTGATAAGAAATAAAAAGAAAAGTATCTACAAGTACCACAACATGGCACAAGTCGTCGGATTTGCTATGTTCAAATGTGTACTCAACAGTTGGATTTTGGGAGTGTTTAGGACAGGCGCCTAAATCGGATAATCGCGTGCAACAACTACAAATAAACAAACGACGACCGGCGACAGTAATCATCAGCATAACAACATACGAATATTTCCAAGATAATTGCATTACGTTGTTTTTTATTTTATCAACATCGGTCGGTTTGCGGTGTTATGCCGGTGCATTTACCTCTGGCCTTGTGATTTCATGGATTCCTAAAGAAAGACATAGTAATTTCGTTAGTGGCTATCAAGAACACGAAATTGTTACCATTGATGTAAAACGAAGACGGTCAAAGGTCAAATATTTGGATATTTTGTTAGCCTCCCTCCCCTCCATACGATTATAAATTCTAATGTAATTGTAACGATAAACGAACTTAAAAATGTTTAAATCAAAATCATTTTTGCAGGGATTTGCAAAAGGTAAGTAGTGGCAAAAGTAATACCTTTTATTTTGTTAATTGGCTGCTTTTTTTGTTAGTGCGTAGATAATTCTTGTCAACCATGATTACTGATTTTGTTTAGTGATATTAATAATGTGCATTATTGTTGGTGTCCATTACGTGTTGAGCACAACTGATAGACAATTGTTGGTATAAGTGACTATATCAATATTTCTTATCAGTTTCATTCATTCTAACACACATTAACCACATCCAAAACTTTACTTTCATCGTCGCAATCTCCAGCTGTCACTGTGTCCGTCGTCGTCGATTAAGTGGAAGCGGAAAATATGTGTGACTTATCTTGATTTTGAATTGAATATTTTTATTATTATTATTTTAATATTGAAATTGTTAAATGTCATCGTGTAATGTCTCTGGTGTGATGTGCTTAAATATGTAGCTATTTTTATTTTACAAAACATGCCCATACACACTTTAGAGATAATGTTCTAAAAACAATTTTAAAAGTGAAATGCGAACTTGTTATTAATTATTTATGGGTATACCCTACCGCAATATGAGCTGATATTTATTTACAGTCGAGGGTGATATAAACTTAAGGCATAAATCAAATAGTTCTTGAAATTCGTATTGTCTAAAGTTTTTAAATCAAAGAGGATATTCTTCTTTTGTTTACAATTATCTTTGTTTTTATATTTTATATATATACATATGTATATGAATTCTTTACTTGATCAGTGGCCCGAGATAATTTTGACAATTTCAATATTATCTTTCATAAACAAAAAACAAAATGCTGTTTAACTGAAATTTTCGAATATATTTGTACGAAGTCCAGAATATTTATAGAGAGAGTTGCGAATTCAATACTCATTTATTCAAATGTAGACTTTTAAATGAAAATTCCATATAGAAATAGTTTCCTAGATTTAGTTAGTTTTTAATAGATTTCTTTCTTACTCGATTTTCTTTGAAGAAAGGTTAATTTTTTTATATAACATTTTTTTGGCAAAAATGTTTGTGTGTGAAATTTAAAGAGGGTTATATGCTTATTTCACTTTGTTTGAGCGTTTTGTTTTTCAAATCTCTACCATCTTTATAACAGATCTTGTGTTGATGGAAATATTGCAATGTACCAAATCTGATTGGAATTGGATGTTTATTTCGCGATTTATGAGCTCAAGCGATATTTAAAATTTTGAGCCTTTGTGAGGGAGGTACCGGAAGGAGTGGACCGATGTTTTCCATCTTCATACCAGACCTTGGGTCAATAAAAATAATGGGATGTGTGAAATATGAAGAGAACCGGATGCTATTTTCGAAAGATCCGATCTCTACCATCTTTATTACAGATCTTGTGTTGATGAAAATATTGAGATGTACCAAGTCTGAATGGAATTGGTTTTTTATTTCGCGTTTTATGAGCTCAACGGATATTTAAAATTTTGACTCTTTGTGATGGAGGTACCAGAAGGAGTCGACGGATGTGTTCCATCTTCACTCCAGACCTTGGGTTATGAAAAATATTGTGATGTGTGAAATATAAAGAGAATTGTACTGTGATCCTTTGCGATGGGGGTACTTGATGGAGTGGACCGATATTGTCAATTTTCGCACCTGACCTGGCACTGATGCAAATATTAGGATTTGCAAAGTTGGAGCAAAATTCGTTTTTTTCTTGCAGTAAATTAATTTATTTGAAAATGTTGACATTTTGTGTGGGAGGTACCAGAAGCAGTGGACCGATATTGCCCATCTCCGAAATCGATCTAAGTTTGACAATAATATAACGATGTACCAAGTTTGGATCAAATCGTATGCTCCCTTCGAGAGTTATTGTGCGCACCAACCAGCCAGACATACATACGGATATGGCAAGATCGACTCCAAATGTCCTGGAACGGATTTGGTATAAAAAGATCTAAGAAGGTCTAAAGCCCTTATTTCGATTAGGCACGTTTTGGCCGTTATATACCCTCCCTAGCCATATGTCTGAGGGTATAAAAAATGCTGTTTAACTGAAATTTTCGAATATTTTCGAAGTCCTGAATATTTATATACCTACATTATATACCTACATCTTAGAGCGGTGGGAAAATACTATGTGGTTCAATCTGAAAAAGCTCAAAATAATTTGGTAAAATGGTGAAAATGGAACCCAAACCTTGGACCGGTATTCTATTTTCAATACCAAACCAGCGGAAATTTAATATACCCTCCTCCATTTTATGTAGAAGTTATAACAGAATCATAGCTCTCATCAATTCTATATTATTTATCGGAGTAGCGCAATATGCTGAAATTCTGAAACACAAGTACACAACCCCTTTCCTTTTGTTTTTAATTGTCGCGTGTTTTTAAGTTATTTTTAGATTTACAAAAAAAATTATGTTGGTAGTGCTGAGTATGTATGATAAGGATTTATTATACAAGCTGTTGTACGCACTTACTTACATTCACATATACATACAGACATGACTTGCGGCCATAACAACGTATTTATTTAAAAAGCGTACGCATTCATTGCTGCTGAGTGCAAAATTTTTGTAAATAGATACTCCAGCTGCATTTGTTTATTAATAAAAATCCAATATGTATGTATGTGTGTGCGCCCGACACATTATTGTATTCGATTTAACATGTATCACACAATTGAGGATTTTTACAATAGATCTCTTACTTGACCTTAGTTAATTTGATGTTTTGATACTTTTTTTAGAATTTCTCTGTGTAAATCGAAACGTTTCTAGCGCTGCCGGCAAACATGGCCAAACAGTACCAACAGTACCTGTGGATCCAACAAATTTTAAATTGCAAAGAGCTTTGTTAGTCTCCAAATTGTCACGTTACGAATTCGAACAGCTGAGGCATCCCAATCTCAGTGCTCAACAATTGGAGGCGAGACTGCGAGACCGTGGCACCGATTTCGATACTCTTATGTATTTACATAATCTACACAAAGACTTTGAACGCACCATTGTAAGGAGTTTTCAAAATGTTGGATGTGAAGTAAAACTGGCCAATCGGTAAGCTATGGCATTTTGTTTGGAATCCTTGTGTAAATAATGTTGTTGTTGTGTCTTTTCATTTCATATCGAACCATTTCTGTTTCACACTGTAAATGCCAAACATTGTAATCCATAATATATTTTGAATACCACCCATCCACCATCTCAACACAAAAAACACAACTGATGTGCCTTTACATACATACGTATATGGCTAACACAAACACCACCATTGTACCTTTAATCTAATCAGAGTCGAATTTAGAAGCTCTTTAAGCAAGGATATAATGCGTTGGGCTGATGTAATTGTGCCCATTGGAGGAGATGGCACATTTCTATTGGCTGCTGGGCGGGCCAGTCCATTATTTGCCCAGTCCCAGCAAAAAACACCAATTGTGGGTTTCAATTCGGATCCCCAACGATCCGAGGGGCGTCTCATGTTACCCAAACACTATTCAGAAAATCCGGCAGATGCTGTGGCAAAAATTAAAAGTGTAAGTTGTTCTGTCCAACAAATATTCTCCAAGATTTTAATAATCTTTCAATTTAATTTTTAGGGGGATTTTCAATGGATGCATCGTTCACGCATTAGAACCACACTTTTGGGTAACAATGGCAATATACCCGAATCCACGGATCTATATCGTCATTGTGTCTCCAAAATGGAACAAGAAAAGACTGAGCCTCAGTATTTGAGCAAAGAAATGGCCAAGAAATATAAGGCCAAAATGCATCGAGTCTTGCCGTATTTGGCCTTGAATGAGGTATTTATTGGAGAATCGTTGTCGGCACGTGTATCGCATTTACAGCTAGTGGTGGATCATCAGAATGTGGTGAATAAAACCAAATGTTCTGGTCTATGTGTTAGTACAGGCACCGGTTCCACGTCCTGGCATACAAGGTAAAGTGTTTTAAGTGAACCTACAAGAACTGTAATATTATTGAAATTTCTTTCGTTTAGCATCAATCGTGTTAGCAAAAAACACATGGAAGATTTATTCCACATTCTACCAGATACAGCAAAGCAAGCTCTGAGCGGCATCAGTACCGAGGAATTGGTGCAAAAATATAATCAGAATTTACTATTCCCTCCAGGTATTTAAAAAGTAGTGTTCTTTTAATTTATTGACCACTCATATATATTTTCTAATTCCAGATGATCCTCGTATATGTTATTCGATAAGAGAACAAATTTGTGTTGGTGTTTGGCCAAGTCCCAAAGATTTCGAGTCGAGAGGATTTGTTAAGAATTTATTTGTGAAATCTCGTTGCATCGATGCAAGTAAGTATTGCCGATGGGGAAGGAGGGTTAAAGTGGACTAAATTCTGTGAAAATGTAAGGGACAACGTACGCATTCAAAGGTCTATACAAATGGATTTCTAATAACTTTTTCCATAGAGAGTTTTTTGCCGGCCATAATGGATTTGTTATTCTATTTTCGCTTAGCTTTTGAAAAGCCTTATTTTAAGGCATTTTTTCAATGCCATGCTGTGGCCCTATAGACTGCATATTTGTAGATTTTTTAAAAGACTGTGTTAGGTGGGTTAATCGTGGACTTTTAAGCTGAGATCAATTGTTGATTTTTTATGATGTGTTCAAACACCATGCTAAGTTTCCAAAAATAGCTTTTCGAAGAGCTTTTTAAATACAATGCAGGGTTCCTTAAGCTTAGATTTAAAAATATCAACTGCCTTCCGATTTCCTTAGGCTCCTAAATCGTAAATTCTTTTAAGATTGCTTTAAGGGCAAAGCTACCTATCTTTAAGTGAGAATACATTTAAGAGTTTTAAAAAGGACACGAGCTCTGATTTCCAATATTTCTTCAAGTGAAGATATTATTGATAGGAAATAGAGTTAAATGCTAATCCACGGTTAGAAATTTTGCCGTGTCGTCTTTAGCCACGTAAGTCTTCTGGCTAATTGAGGAATTACTATAGGGTCCGTGTTAGGGAACGAAGACAAATCATGTGACACTTGTTGCTCCACCAACCTGTCGTTTTTTTAAATCAGGTTTCGACAAGGACAGTAGCGACATTGCTCTCTTCTCCGAGAGTATGGGCCTAATTCTTTTGGAGATGCCAAATTTCCTTTCGTCCATCCATTTTTGTTGAATTCTCTCAGAGTAGTGTCTATGAATAACCTGGAAGGAGTGGCACAGAGGTGGTTTGACCGAGTTCTGAACTTCAATGCTAGCTTATACGGCCCCTAGTCTAGCCAATTCGTCTTCAGTTTCGTTGCCTGGAATATTGTAATGACCAGGACCCCAACAGAGCTTAATAGACAAGCCAGTGTTTTCCAGACAACATTAGGGCATTAAAAGACTAAATGCCTTCACAGCGGTTTTGCGTCCCTCTATTATATTTTTAAAAACTTTTCATAGGCCACGTTAAATTTCTTAAGCGTGGATGTAAAATATTTGTTAAGGGTTTAACATTGTTTTATTTACGTCCTTCATTTTGAACATGCAAATATTCATAGAAACATAGAAACATAGCACTTGCAGTGTTAATTTCGCCTGGAAAGCCAAAATAAATATGGCCACAATAAAAATGGTACTGAACGCATATAAATTTACGCCTAATGACAACATATTCCAAACAATTTCAATCACATTCTCTGCTAACGTTACTATTGTGTAGACATTCCAACCTATACAGGGCAAAAGGAATACGCTAATATCACCATTTGGAAATGTCAATGTATATAAGGGCATTGTATTCATAACGATTGTTAATAAACGAAAATGGAATCCAAATTTTTCAAGCAACTTAGGTTCATTTTGTAAGCCATTCAGCAGGTCACTATAATGCCACACATCCTGTCTGGCAATTAATATTACCAGAAAGTAATTGTAAAGAACCAGGTTTAAGGTACATATTTTATATTCAAATAATGGATTCTGTAAAGATGAATTGTATGGGTTTTATATTTGTTTTATCAAAAGAATGGCCACAACTTACATGGAATAATTTTTTAATGTTTGTGGTAATAATTTGTATGTACATATTTAAATTATTCTAAAGCAGTTATGACACAAATTGTTTTCAAGTTTTTTTATGGCGTCTACAGTTTCTATGCAAAAAATTATACCGAAAAATGCAATTTCTTTTCATTTTGCAGATTTGGTTATAGATGGCAGCATTTCATATCCCTTCAACGATGGTGCAAAGGCCTTATTAGAGATTCATCCTGAAGACGCTTTACTAGCCATAAGTTTGGACTGATTATTGTGCGTTACGACAGCAAACAACAACAATATTTAATATTATTATTACTTTTCTAATTTAACAAAGTGAACTTATTTTATACAAGCAAAGTTAAACCAAATCTATATTATAAGTTGTGATAAGCATTTTCTATACTGTAAATAAAAAAGTGGCGTTTCTTATTTTTTTCATGTTTTCTTTTTATTTTTTTGTCCTATTAACAGTGTTTTGGATTTTTTATTAGGCAGAGCTGTTTTAAAACGTTTATCGACCTTTGTCTTCTTCTTCTTGTTTTGTTGGTCGGAACTTGTGGTTACTTCATTGTTGGTAGATTTTTTCTTCTTCTTTTTCTGGAAACGTTCCGCATTGACATCTTTAAAACGATCATCTTGCACAAGAGCTGGAGGTCCTTCGTTTTGGGTTTCGTTTTGACGTTCTTTACGTTTTCTTTTAATTTCCTTAATTTTGTCCTTTTGTTTTTTACGGTATCTAAAAAGAGAAAATAAAATTACAAATATTAATGTTTGACTTTTGGTGAGCCTTTTCAAATTGTTTTGAAATGAACCATGGTCATCTTTAGTTCATAGAATTTCATTTGGTATTCGAAAATTAACCCTTATGTTTAAATCTACAGAACAACACTTACAGATTTTCCATTTCATCGGGATCTTTACCCTCCAGTATCCATTGCTTTCGCCTATAGTTTTGGGCCCTTTCATCAAAGTCATTATTATCCAATTCAATTTCCGATTCTCGCCGTGTAACATTTACTTGCATGAAAATTCGTTCAACCATTTTTTCTGCAAAAATAATCGCATTACATTACAAATGACGAAATGTCAATTTGTTTATAACTTACGATCGATAGGATGTTCCGTCAATTTTGTATTAATGGCCTGTTCTATTTCACCCAATAACTCCAAGTCTCTCGGAAAACGGAATATAGAAATAGCCATACCCTTTCGTCCGGCTCGTGCTGTACGCCCGACACGATGTATATATTCTTTAGGTGTTCGAGGCAAACGATGATTTATAACCAATTGAACGCTTGGAATATCCAGACCACGAGCTGCCACATCGGTGGCAATGAGAGTACGAACATGACGTGATTTGAAACGATTGAGGGCAGCCACACGTTCCTTTTGACGCATAAACCCATGTAGGCAAACATTTTGTATGCCCACCTTATTCAAAGTCATTGATAATAGTTGGCAGTATTTCTTGGTATTCGTAAAGATCATGACATTTGAATTTTCATCCTCTTCGCGGTATTTACGTAAGGCCTCAATCAGCACCATATCACGATCGTAATCAGCACACAACAGATAACGTTGATCCAATGTTTCCACTGTGGCTACTTGAAATTCTTCTGACCATTCCAAACACTAAAACCAAATGCAATTATTAATTAGTTAAAAAAAGGTTTAATTTTTGTGCTTACATCTTTTGATATTGGGAATATGCTACTCTCCTTGATAAAATCTTTCATGGTTGCCGAAAAGAAAAGATTCTGTCGGTTCTTCGGTATACATTGTTCTATTATCTTCAGACTTTCATCGAAATCACCATTTAACATGCGATCAGCTTCATCCACTACTAAAAACTTTAAATTATCAAATGAAAATGTATCACAGCCAGTTAAATGATCTGCCAAACGTCCAGGCATAGCCACCACAATATGAGGCCTTTGCATCAACTTTTGTGCCTCAATAATTTGATCAGTGCCACCAGAAACAACACATACTCTTACGCCCATTGGTTGGCCAGCCACCAGAAACTGTTCCGAAATCTGTGAAAAACAAAAAGTTATTATGTGATATAATAAAAATTTTCCGCGGCAAACTTACTTGATAGGCCAACTCGTGAGTTGGTGTTAGAATCAAGGCAAAATGGCTGGTAGGTTCCTCACTTAATTTCTCCAAAATGGGTAAGGCAAAGGCAAATGTTTTCCCTGAACCAGTTTTAGCTGCGCCTATACAATCTTTACCATCCAATATTGAGGGAATGCATGCTTGCTGAATGGGAGTAGCTTGTTTCAAGCCTAGGAAGTAATATACGTTAATATAGTTAGATTAGGGAAAATTATATGTTTATTACCAAGTTTTGTTAATTGTTTTGTCAGCCATGGTCTAAGTCCCAGTTGGGCAAAAGGATTTGTATCCTTTTTTAACATTTCTTTCGCTTCTAGTCTTTCTTGGATCGTTGAGCAAAACAATAATAAAAACAAAACGTGCTCTGGTTCAATTAGACTATTCACTGAAATGAACTGTCAATAAACGACAAACAGCTGAAAAGAACGAACTAGTATATAGAAAAGAACTAATAATATAAAATCAAAAGGTTTGTATTTAATTATATGTTTTTTTTTTACCTTCCACTATCCATTCATAATCGACAATGAAATAATTAAACGGTAATCAAAATTACATATTTAAGTCGGCAAAACAATTGCTGCTGGATTATATTCACATAAGGTTGATAACACGCAACAACTATTCACATTGAGATAGTAGCCCATTTAGCTGTTACTTTTAACACATAATTTAAGAAAATATACGTCAGGAGTTGGTGCTGAATAACCCTATGTAACTTTACTTTTAACAGAATAATCTGGGTTGTATAGCGCAAGATTTATCCCAAATACGACAATCCCTAACTTTATTGATTTTGTTCTCAATGGATATGTAGTTCTCCATAATAGTACATTCTATAAGTCAGTCAACTACATCCCTCATTTGGGATTTTTCAGAAAATGTCCTGGTATTCATTTCTATTTATTTGGTTGCTACAAACCATTAGTTTTGGAGCAACAAGTAAAAGTTTTACATTTTCCATAACACTAAAAGCCCGAAAATAACTTATGTAGCTTACAATGCTAATTTCTGCGCCGGAAATGTATTTTCCATTATTTCACACTTGACCTGCAAATTAAATGCTATTTTCTCATAATAGTCTTCAGACATATTCTAGCCATAACAATCGTTAACACAATTTTAGTTCTAATGTGGAATATATATGAAATATTTTCAGCAGGATTTTGCATTAGAAACGAATGCATTATATTTGTTCATTGGATATTTTACACCCCATTTTAGAATTGTGCTCCTTCATTATTTCAAAAGAAAACAGAATGACACAACTAATTTTAGAAATTCAAAATAATTTTGAATTATTTTTTTGTTTTATTTACTTAAAATACAAAAAACGTATCCGTTACATTGTAGACACTTCCTTGAACAAGAAAATGTCAACATCAATAAAACTCCAAAAACAAACGCAAACATTTGTGTTTGAAGATATCTGATGCTTTTTAGGTGTCTGCAAGCGAATGTGAATTCAGAGTTTACTTCTTGGCGGCTTGACCGATCTTGGCCTTGGCGGTACCACGGACCTTCTTCATTCTGTTGCGACGTTCCTTGCGTTGCTTGCGGGTCTGTTTCTTGATTTCCATAAGACCATGACGAACCAAACGGTATTTGGGTTCGAATTTCTTGGCAAAGTCCAAAGTGTCATAGATCAAAGCGAAGCCAGTGGAACGACCACCACCGAAGCAGGTACGGAAACCGAAGACGAAAACAACATCGGGGGTAACTTTGTACATGGCGGCGAGTTTTTCACGGATTTCAGTTTTGCTGACGGAGGCTAAGCCGGGGTGGATGACGTCGCATACCATTTGTTTTCTGGCCAACAAACGGTTGGTCATGAATTTCCGGGTACGAATGGTGGCGGTAGACATGGTTATTTATCTGGAAAAATATTAAAAACACTTCAAATTAGTATTTTAAAATTGATAATATTTTTTAACTATGCTTATCATCAAATGTAGCTGTTTTGGTTTTGGAGACACATCATAACCTCACATAATGGATTTATTTTCGTGCGAGCTACACGACACACATACACACAAAAACCATCCGTCACAAACGACTCCACGTGTTGGACATTTTTCTTGGTCACAAAATAACTTTTCCCACAAGTTTCCATAAACATTCATTTGTTTGTCATTCTAGCATACATTTGGAATAATATTTTAACATTTTTACAAAATTTTACCTGTTAAAACACTTAAAAAGTATTAAAACACGTCTTAGCAGACAAAAAAATTATTAGGAAAGGAACTGACAATAGAGTTGCAAAAATATTGATTATTTTTGTACCGATTACTTGGTACAATTTTCGAAATGAGTAATTGGTAGTTTGATGTGAATAGTCACAAATTCAAATGCTGTTCACATTAAACGTTCTTTGAAAAGAACTTTACATGTGAAAAACACCAGGGCTTAGCATATGTTTCCAACAATTATACGTGTGCAGTACTTTTCACCTGCTTGCGTGGAACAAACGTACAGCCAACACAGCGTACCTTTGGAGAACTTTGGAAATGGAAATGTAACTTCTTGCTTCAAAATTACTTTCGACAAATGACAGGTTGTCTTAATTACATTACATTTTACATTTCTTTTATCTAATTATTACCATGTATTCCCCATGGTACAATAATTTCCAAAGCAGGGCATAGAAATCACCAGAATTAAATTTTGTTTTCACGTTTGCAAGAAAATTGAAGGGTTCCCTGCAAAAAATTGCAAGCAATCAGTTGATCTGTCGAAACGAAAGCATTTTCCCGCTATAAAGAAAACAAAGGACCCAAATACGTTGTATTTTATTAAAAAAGAAAATATGCCAAGAAAATAAGAATTTCCTATTTGTCAACTTAATTATATAAAAATGTTTTAAAATGCAAATCACCGGAATTTTGAATTTTGTCCGTTACTACTTCGCAATCTCACAGTAATGGAACTGTCAACAGTTCTCTCTCTCTTTTTTTCTGCAGAAATTTTGTGTTGTCAGACCATTTCCAGTAACACTAGACAGACCTTTTACCACCATCTCTACTAAAATCATGGTAGAAGAATATAGGTAAATGTATCAACGCTTGGAAACATTAATATTCCAAAAATATTTGTATGTTTTTCAAAAATAAGTAGATTTTTATATGCTTTCTTATACGACGACAATCGTAGGTTGTTATGATATGCATTTTTCCTACAATTGTAACGAATTTAAATAATTTTCCGTTCAAAGTTGTTCATTCCTAAATTGGTTTGACAGTTTATTGTCTCAGCAGCTGTGTTGAAGCGACTACTTGTATTCTTCTACCATGACTAAAATGTAAAAAAAATTGTTTTTAAAAACAGCTGTTTTTATTTTCCTCTCCAACAAGCACTTCTCTGTGTCACCTTATGTTTGTTTTCAAAAATTGATGTTATCGATAGTTAGCAACATTGCTACCTTCAACATTAAAAGTCGAGTTACGTTTACCAAAAAAATCTTATTGGAATTAAACGGGTTACAGTGCAAGACGTCAATTCGCTTGAAGAAAAAATATAAAAAAATTGTAAAAGTTAAAAAAGTTGAACAAAAAAGATTCTAGGTTATAAAATAAATAGCATTTTTGTGTAAAAGGATTGTCAAATAAATCAACAAACAAATTCCCAGAAATATCTTGTGGGAAGGTATGTGCAAAAATTTACATAAGGAACAAAGAAAAACAGGAAAGTTCGTTCTTACATAAGTACATGTAGAGAACAGCTGCAGCAGTTGCAGAGATACTCGTGGAAAATTACCCACAAATTTCTCCTGAATGGAAGTTTTTTTTTTGAAAGAAGCATTGAAAAGTTATAAGCGAAACGAACTCTAAAGAACAAATCACTGAAAGTAAAAACACGTTTTATATATGGTTGTTGTTGCTCTTGCTAGTCTGTGTGCCAACACATTTTTCTAAAGAGGGTGAATCCATGGAAAGGGGGGTGGGGAATAATTCATATGAATTCGGAATTTCTTTTGTTTTTGTGTTCTACAAACATACAAACAGTGACGTTTCAGTGGGTGGTTGTTGGACCTCATTGGCCTTGACTCGCATGCTTTGTGTATTTATACTCTGTATCATCACCCTGTGGTACAGGGTATTATGTCCTTGTGCATTTGTTGTCTATAACGAACAGAAGGAGACATGATAGATCTCATTAATGAATTACATAGAATAACTTTTTTAAAAAAAGGTTTATGCATTTGCGTTCGTCCCTCCTTCCGTCTGTCCGTGTATTTTTGTGAATTGAAATTGGTGAGAATCAGTTCAAATTTTTTACTTTTATTGTGTCCCAGGTGTGTGGTAGCAGAACAGATGACATCAATTAAGGTGAATACGACTGAACTCAGGAGGAGGAAATCTGTCAAATTTTGTGAACATCGGTTGAGATATGTAAATGACGCTTGTCCAATAAATTTGAATTCTGCATCACATGAACAAGTTCCGGCTATAGGCCACGCTATATTAAAATACCTACATCAAATTTAGTGGAAACCGATTCGACTTTAAATTTGAAAAATAATTGTTTTTTCAATTTTTATTTAAAGATCAAATAATGCTCTTATAGGCTATACAGTGTGAGATAAAAAACACTACAACAAAGTCAAATGCCATAATTTTTAAATTTTTTTGAATTTTATTGAATGAAAGCAAAAATTACGGAAATAGTATCAAATTTTAGAATAAGATTGGTCACCTTTGGCACGAATTATGGCCTTCAAACGGCCAATGAAACCGCCACACGTTGCCCGATTGTTGCTCTGCGGTATTTTGGGAAGCGCTTGCTTGAGGTAATCGACACTTTGGTATTTTTTAGTGCCAACCTTGTTTTCCAAAATATTCCAGACACAATAATCCAACGGATTGGTATCCGGAGATTTTGATAGCAATTGCGGCCAAAATGTTTGCATGTCCAAGGCTTTAATATACCCTCTAGAATATTTTGGCGATCATATTCGGCATTTATTCTGATGCCACTGTCGATTAATACGAGCGGAGACCGACCACCATGGCGGCCCACACCATCACCATGGCCGGCGCTTGGGTTCTGGTGGCCTACCGAAGGTGCCCCTTTTAAGCTGACCTCTTTGGCAGTAAACACGATCATTTTGTTTCTTTATAAACTGCTGGACAACGAATGTTATCTCATCGGAGAAAATCAAGTTTTCGACCATGCGAAGCAACTCTTTACTTTACTCTTTTGAGTCTATTTTCTTTCTGTTGCAATGTAAGTTCTTGCACTTTTTGGATTTTCAATGGCTTTACCCCGAGGTCATTTTTCAATATTTACCGAATGGAATATTGTGATATGTTCAGCTCACGAGCCATTTTTCGGCCACTGCGATGCGATGATTCAGAATTTACCAATTGTTTTAAGTGTTTATATCCATTTAGACCCTGAAGGGCTAATTTGCTGTATTTGCACCTCGACGCACTTCCACGTGGGACTCAGCAAATATCTCATTCGATTGGAAATTGAAATTGAATTGAAATTGAAACATTCAATATATTGAAAATTAGGAGGTATAGTTATATGGGGACTATACCTAAACGTAGATCAAAAACCCACTTCCAATACCATTCTTAATATGTTACAGCTTCTTTGCCAAACCTCAAGTCTCTACAAACAATACCATCTTGATAATTTAATGTCCTTGGACTTAAATATTTATCTTAGTTCAAATTATAAACATTATGGCGTCTAAGATGTGTAATCCATTCTATACCAACTAACTTTTTCTATATATTTTCTTTTCATTACAGTTTGCGAATAGAATTCATTATTATTAAAGGATATTAAATAAAACATGAGAACTTCTACTGTTAGCCGATATGCTTTGCGTTTGACTTTTGGACAGGTAAGTCCTTAAATATATAATAATTAATAAAGAAAAAAAGGAAGAATACGTTTTCTTGGGAGATTGCATTGCTCTTTTGTATGTCCTGTAGATAAGCCATTGATGAGTAGACTTTAGATACATAAATCATTAAAGTTTTTTTACTAAAACAAGTTGTATATTATCGCTTTTAGGTATCCCTGAAAAGAGGGCCTTAAAAGTGTTCATATATATTCACAAAACAAGCAAAGAACACACATCACATCACACACATCACTTTTGACATTATGAGCCTGTCCGATGTTTCATACAACCCATCACCACAACTTCAAGTCGGCGACATTTGTTATGATTGCCAGCAAAATGGCATAGAAAATCGTTTGCGACTTTTTATCATTAACTTAGAAGAGGAAACTCTATTAAAATGTGAAAGTGATAATTGTATGTATCCTTATAATGATGATATCTTAACATCTTCCGACGAAGGTGATGATAGCAATTACACCATAACTGAATTGGTAAATTGTCCTGAAAATTATGTGGAGACAAGTGGTATTATAGTGGATAACTTCTTAGATTTTGAAAATAATTTACAGAATGCATCGCCAAGTAGTTTAGGAGAACAACAAAATTTAAATGAAATAAAGATTGAAAAGAAAAAAACAGTTAGAAAAGCAAAACAAGTTAGAACTTCATCTAAATCATCTAAAAAGAATACAGCAAATTTGAATGACATTTTCGCAAAGAATGTTTCAATGAAATCAGAGGAAACAAAGAGTGTAGCAATTAATAATACTTTATCTAAACCTCTAGAAAAGCCACCTACATGTAAGCCCAAAGAAAAAACTAAACTCTTGCCACTTCCAACAACTTTAGCTAAGTTGGAAAAAGCTAAAGACAAAACAAAAATTCCTTCTGCAAAAGTAGAAAGTGATAAGCCTAAACGTAGAAAAGAAATAAAAACTGAAGTAGCAGCAAAAGCAGACACAAAAGAAGACGAAGTTCCCAAAGCTAGTCTTTGTAAAGGACATCAATATCTAAAAATGATTAAAGCTTCCGAGGCATTAAATTCCAAGATTCGAACATCAACAAAAATTAAAAAAAATTAATAAAACCAGATTTGTAATTTTATGAATTTTATGATTTATAATAATGAATTACAACTAAGTATATAACTGTATTGCTTTTAGTATATAGTAAATATTTACATCAATAAACAAAATGTATATACATTTTATTTAAGTCTCTTTTTCATGTCTTAGAGCCTCCTCTTTTTCTTTGTTTCTCATGGATAATAATGCGCATTTTTTGTGTATATATATGTCTGGGTCTCAAATGAAATGTGTCATATAGTTTTACAACCTTTCGGTAGACAGATTACAAAAATTTTTTTTTTCATATCTTTCTTTGCTAGACAACAGTAGCGGAGAATGTGTGTGTGTTCGCGCATTAATGAACTAAAATGGCAACGTAATTGTATTTCGTGCGACCAATTAGAACCAGATGCAGTTAGCAAAACAATGTAAACAAAATAATTTAAAGATAAATTAGTGCAGCGTGCAAAAAATAGCAACAACAAAATAATTTAATTTACATAACTAACACATTTATTTTTTTATTGTTATTTAAGAATACTGAGTTTAATGACTAAAAGTCAAAACAAAAGAAGTCGCCTTAATAACTTTTAGTGGATTTCCGATAATAACAAATCGGAAAAAATGTTTAGGGCTTTGGTTTGATGAGTTGATGGTGTAATAGTTTAGGACCAAAAATTTCCAAAATACCATATATCAGGAGGTACAGTTATATGGGGTACTATAACAAAAAGTGGACCTACATTGAACAACCCACAAAGAATCCAAACTTGGTTGGAAATTTAAGTTGAAACACAAACAAAGGAAGCCGAAACATACATTTGTGGTAAATTAAATTGGAAATCAGGAGGTAACGTTATACGGGGTACTATAACAAAATGTTGACATACATTGTATATTTTTGAGGAGGAGTTTAACTATCCAAAAAGAACCCGAAATATTATTTTGCAGGTGATTTGGTTAAAAATTGGGTCGAAATCTTTAACATTTGGAAAGTCAGGAGGTACAGTTATACGCGGTACTATCGCAATAAGTGAACCTACATTGATTATTTATGAGAGGTTTAAATCTGCACATTGAGAAACTGAAATGTAAAATTACAACTGATTTGGTCGAAAATTGGGGCCGAATTTTGCAAAGAAGTTAATCCGCCCACAAAGAACTCAGAATATGAAATAGCATCTAATTGAGTTGGAAAAATGCGATCAAAACTTGCCAGATAACGAAAATCAGGAGGCAAATTAATATAGGGGCTGCAACTCTATCGTGAGTTTGGCAGACTGATAGCGGTAGCGACATCGAATTTTACCCTGATAATAAATTTTAGTACATATTCAGCGAATTTTTCGAGGAGTATTTCCAGGTGTTGCAAATGGAGTAACAAATTTAATATATCCTCAATTTTATGGTGGAAGGGGTAAAAACTCAGCTAAAATATTTATAAAAGCTATTCGATTACCATACGTAAACAAGTCTTTTTTAAAAGAAAATCTAGACTCATCCATCTTCCTTTTAAACAACTTTAGAGACAGGCTACTCCTTTGCTCACAGGTTATCCTATTAGTGATGATATTATTTGAAAACATTTCCATAAAATAACCTTCTTTTTTTTAATCAACTTTGGTGTCAGGCTACTCCTTTGTTAACAGACAATGATGATATTTGAAAACATTTCCATCATACAAAGGCAAACACGTCATATAAATTGCATCAAAGTGCAAGGTTAAAACTGTTTACTTAACAATAATAGCAGCTCCACAGAGTATTGAGTTGAATAACATCACCTTGATGAAATGACAATAACAGACGAGTAACGTTTTAAAAAATTGCATGCACTCAAGTACCTATAACCTCAGGAAGATGGATTGGTTTTGTGAGTGTGCTGCAATCTGAAATGATAAATGTTTTTAAATCAATAAAAATTTTAAAAACAATTCCTTTAAATGTGATTTCTTGTTATGACGTTGATGGTCTCCTCTGTCAATTGATTGCTATTATTTTTAAATATTCAAATAATGGGAAGCCCACAGGAATGGTAGACAAAGACATGGAAGTATTAAGATTTGACAAGTCAGATTTAAAATATGGACAGCATAATTTTATTTTTATACCCTCCATCATACATAGTATGGATATTTTAAGTTCGACATTCCGTTTGTAGCTCATCGAAATAATAATTTTAAACCCCACAAAGTATATATATTCTTGATCAGCGTAAAATTTTTAGACGATTTATCCCTGTCCGTCTATCCCTCTGTTTTAATCACGCTAGAATCAAAACTAAACTATATATGAAGCTAAAATTTTGCACAGATATCTCTTTTGTCTGCAGGCAGGTCAAGTTTGAAGATCGGTCCGCCATACCGTATAGCCTTCATATAACGGTACCCCCGATATTCGGTATTTTGGCGATTTTAGCCACATTTTTCAATGAAATTGTCTGAAGTGCTATACAAGGAGTTCTTTGTGAGTACTTTACCCCTGAAAGAGAATTATCTATATTGGTCTACGATATCGTATATTCCCCATATAGCGGCACCTCCCGATATTCGGTATTCTTATGATTTCAGACAAATTTTTCAATGGAATTTTCTTAAAATCCACACAAGGGGTTCCTTCTGAGTACTTTACTCCCTTAGAAGAGAATTGTCTACATAGGTCCACGATATCGTATACTCTCCATATAACGGCACCTCCCAATATTCGGTATTTTGATGATTTCAGCCAAATTTTTCAATGGAATTGTCTTAAAATCCACACAAGGAGTCCATTCTGAGTAATCTACCCCCCTAGAAGAGAATTGTCTACATAGGTCCAGGTTTTAGTATAGCGCCCATATAACGGAACCCCCAGATATTTGGTTTTTTTCATAATTATAATTCACCGGAATGGTTTCAAATTTCATGTTTGAAGTTTGGAACCGTTACTACAGCCTATGACAAAAATTACTTATGCAGGACCACATCTTCTTATAATCCGGTTTTCATTAAGCGGTAGATTTCGACGGATTTTTTTTTTTTGAAAATATAAAAAGTTCGTCCCAGCCGAATTTAGCTTCTTTTTTATATGTTAATATTAACATACCTCTGTCATGAGCTGTTACTTAGCATATTATTGTCACAAACCATTTTCTCAGAAAGCATTTTGTCTTCACCATTTTATGTCTATTGTGGTAGTTCCTTACTTTCCAAACATTGCCAAATCTACATTTTTCTTATTCAATCATAAACGATTTTTTGTTTTTAATATTATTTAAAAAAATCCAATTGTATAACCTGGAATAGATATGTATATGCAATTCCATCCTTATCGGCCACACAGATTAGAATTGCAATTCTCAAATAAAAAATAATATATATTTCTTCTTCTAATCAACTTTGCCAAAGTTAGACATTTTTGCACATCATAATTTGATTAGAAATAGTGAATGGCATGCCGAAAGCGATAAGAAGAGCGAACGTTATTAAAATTTATTTAATTAATTCACATGACCATATACTGAATGAATAATGCTGATATGATGGGAACGAGCACGCGTACAATGCATGTTTGCAAATGTGTAAATAATAAAGAAATAAAATAATAAATTGCCATATAAAAGAATAATTATATTTTCTAAAAATATAAATTCTTGTCTGAGTTTTGCATCTATGTATGTGTCACAAATGTTGGTGCACACAAATTTGTTGAACTAAAGCCAAAAGTAAAAAAAAAAAATAACAAGAATTTTTTCATAAGAAAACCTGGCCAAAATGCTTTCAAAAGCAAACACCTCGCTCTGCCAGAAAAAATCAAGTTCAATATTGCTATGCCTCGTACATATTTAATTATCTGTTGTCGCCAAACTTGTATTTCCTTATAAAAAACACAAAAACAACTACCAGAAAATACCATATGATGAAAGTGAGAATAAAAATAAAATAAAAAATATTGGTTGTCGACCTATAAGTTCACATATAAAAAAACACAACAAAAACAAACACAATTACATAAAATCAAATAAAATTGTAAACGATTGTCTTCTTTGCCACCTTAGTAACACATTTCAAATAATTATCTACCTTTTTTACCTAAAGAAATTATCGAGAATACTCGTTCGTCGTGCATACGTCGCCCTCACATGGGTTTAATGGCATTTGGCCAGTATTTGTTTTGTGTTTTTTTGCCATTTTTTTCAATATTTGTTTACATTTTCTTATCTTGGCTAGAGATACTACAACATTCTTTTGATGTTTTGATTGTAGTGGTTGGATTTTCTATTTTTAGTTTTGAAACACTTAATATAGAGGAGCCACTGCATTCTATGTCTAATAAATGCGTATTTTCGAAATCGGCGCCAAATTAAACAAGAAATATCACACATTTTGTTGCGAAATCTCAAACGTAAGACGTATATTTGCATATTTCGGGGAATATATAGATTTTTTTAAGGACAAAATCTAATATATAATTCACTAATGCATAGACAATTTGAAAAATCTCAATTTTTAAGGCATAATTAAAAATCGTCATTATACTATTTATTACGTTACTATTTTGACGTGTTAATTTTTTTTTCTAAAAAAGAAATTATCTTGTATCAGTTTGGCGTACAATGACCGGCCGGCGCCTTGCGTCTACCAGACTTTTTATATGGTGACGTGGAAATTGAGTGTGTGTTTAAATGTAAACAAATTCAAAGTTCAATATTCTATTATGAATTGCGTTCAATGAATGGGGTTTAATAATGCCATGATTTTTATAACAGACTCGTATTGCATACGATGAATCAATTTTGTGTAACAATGGATTTATTAAAAAAATCAAAAGGAAATCCCCTCCATTATAATAGGTCATACACATTGAATTGCGCTGAAAGAACAGTAAACATTTTCGCTTTGAAGAAATATTTTTAAAAAAATTAAATTCGTCCGTGGCGAACTATTGCCTCCGCCCTTTAAAAACAAGCAAAAAAACAGATATTAGATTAAAAAAATTGTTTCGAAAAATACCGCTCAAATAAAAACCTTTATATGGTGACTATACGAAGATATGGTGCTGGACAAGTAATATTCTGTCATAGGGTCTAGTAACGATTCCGAACTTCGAATACAAAATTTCGAAACAATTCCGGTGAATAATGTTTGTAATATCATGAAAATATCTAAAATACTAGGGAGGTATCGTTGTATAGGGGCTTCACTAAGACGTGGACCTGCATAGACAATTATCCGTCATAGTTTGTAGTACCCATTTCGAACTTTAAATACGAAATTTGAAGCAATTCCGGTGAAAAATATAGCGAAAATCCGGGAAATACCGAATATCTCGGGGTAGCTTTATGTGGGTGGTAGCCCTATATGGACAATTCTCTTCCAGAGGGTAAAGTACTCAGAAAGAACTTCTTGTGTGGCTGAAATAATCAAAATACCGAATATCGGGGGTACCGTTTTATGGGGACTATACGACATCGTGGATCTATATAGACAATTCTCTTCCAGGGGTAAAGTACTCAGAGAGAACTCCTTGTGCAGAATTTCAGACAATGTCATTGAAAAATATGGCTAAAATCATCGAAATACCAAATATCGGGGATATACGATATCGTGGTCGTATATAGACAATTCTTTGTCAGGGGTAAAGTAGTCACGAAGACCACCTTGTGTCGAATTTCAGACAATTCCGTTGTCTGTGGCTAAAATCATCAAAATACCGAATATCGGGGTTACCGTTATAAAGGGGCCATTCGATATCATGGTCCGATATAACTCATCTTCGAACTTGGCCTACCTGCACACACACATATTTGACCTACCTGTCCAAAAATGTTGCTTCCTATCTCAATTCGTTTTGACTCTAGCTTCATTACAACAGACGGACAGCTCTAAATCGTCTTAGAATTTTTCGATGATCAAGAATATATAAACTTTGTGGGGTCTAAAATTATTATTCCGATACCCCCTCCATACTATGTATGGTGGAGGGGGGGGGGGGGTATAATAAAAGATTTGGGATTGAATATTGGGCCCATTTTTTTTTTTGGCCAGCGAAATTATTCCTCTGAAAAATGTGGCTAAAGTCATCAGAATACCAAATATCAGGAACCCCTTATGAAATCTATCTATCTATGAACCGAATTTTAACCCATTCCTTTTGAAAATATGGCTTAAATTCCCAAAATACCGAATATCGGGTTTTTCCACTGTTTATAAGACAAGACTATAAGAAAACATGGACCTATATAGACAATATTTAAAATATACAATTTTGGTTTGAAAAAAAAAAAATATATTATAAAAAATCCACTTTTTTTGTTCCGCTCTTTGTTTGTTATTTTGAAACATTTTCGTGGCCTTGAACAATAATCTTAAAAATCCACATCTGGTGGTCCCTTAGTAATCTTTCTATCACTTCTTGGAAATGGCTCATGTTTAGGCGTTTTCCAAGTAAAACCCCGTGAAGACCATTATGTAGCTTTAATTCGTAGCTTAAGTGTATAGTCGCTAAGGATAAAAGGCTCCATAATCTACAAAATCTCTAAAATTTACCCTCAATTCTTACTAATCTTAAATATTTCTTTTCTTTGTTATTTTCTTTACAGTCTTCAGCATCGACACCGAACAGCTTTACCACAACTGCCACCGGTAATCCAGATCGTGTCATAACTCGTTCTGCTACCTGTTTGGCTTTGTTCGGTATCGCTTTGTCGTCGTTCAGTCTCAAACAAATGTTGAGCACCGGTGCCAACAAATCTCCAATTATGCGCAAATTTTAAACTCTCCCCCCGTCATTCGTTCCATTTACTATTTGAGCCATAAGGAGGCTCTTTGTGTATATTTCTTATTATTTTATTTGCTGCTGCGATTCATATCTACAAAATACATATATACATATTTCATTGGATCATAAATCACAAAATGGAAATGATTGGAGGATTTTGTTAAGAATGATAAAAGGAGATGGATGGTAGGAGTGAAAGTGCAGAATACAATGACGTCCGCAAACAGAACATTTATCATGCTACTTTGGAAAGGAAAACAGAATAAAGAAGAAAATACCCACAGCTCTAGAGATGGACAAATGTAGAGTTTTGCAAAGACCTAATGCAGAACTAGCAGGCGCCGAATTTAGAGAGTGGTAGTCAAGGAAAAGAAAAACACATCACAACCAACAATCAATTGCACAAAATCACGGAATACACTAAAAACCCAAAACATGGAAGATGAATATGGAAAATGGCAAAGAATATGACCCATAAGACATGCAGATATTTCTATTGTAAATCTGTGTAATGTGTAAAAAAGAATTATGAAAATACTCGAGTATTAGCAACAATGTACAAGCCACGAACGGAAATGTAGCCAGCAATGTAAGCCAGTTTGTATATAAGAGAGAAAAACAAGAATTTTGGCCAGTTGCTATAAAAACATATAATGATTTTATAAACAAAAGACAAATTTGTGTCACCTTTATTTAGTTTAAAGATTTTTTGTGTTTATATTTTATTGTCAATTTCATTAACATTATTATTCTAGATTTACTGGCAAACGTTGTAGATTTGTAAGTAGGGCCATTATCATGAGCATAACTTAATCTTTTGACTAAATTCTAATCTCTTTACACGAAATTTGTCTTTTGTTTTGAAATAAAAAATGGTGAAAAATACCAATTCTTAAAAGAAAAACAAATTTTAAAACATTTTTATATATTGTATGTGCGTGTTGTAGAGAAAATACTTTTGTCCTTGGTTTGTATTTCCCAAATTCCTTTTTTTGGTTGTAATTTCAAATAAATTGTTTTGTGTATTAATTATGAAGACAGCTTACAATAATAAAAATGGTACTATTATTTTTTCGAAATTCCTTTTTTATTTTATTTTAGTTTTATTTTCATGGACAAGAAATGGGATCGTAAGATGAGCAAAGTATTGTAGACATGTATTGTTCTTACACTTAAATCTTTCTGCTTTTTTTTCTTAGCCAAATTAGCCAATATTTTCCTTAAATAAATGTCTTAAAGAAAACTTAAAAATGTGTGTTTTTATGTGTCGATGGGGCTATTCCCAAGGTTTCGAATTATGCGCTTAAGGAACATTGTAAACGTTGGTCATCAGACGGAGAAGAGATTTTACTTGAATTTTGGAAAAATAATATAGGTAAGATTTGAGTAGGCAGAAAAAATTGCCCTGTACTGGGTGAGATAAAAAAACCGCAACTATCTTCAGACTGCTGTCATTTCTAAGCCACTCGCCTGACAGCTGTTAAAATTATTCCAGTGACAGCTTATTATATTGTTTACAAGCGTACAAAAGCATTTTGGTGAGAAGTTTCCAGAAAAAAAGTTATTCGTGATGGAATTCAAGCGTCATAGTGTGCTTTCCTTATATTTGGCTGGAAAACCACAAGTGGTTATCGTTAGAGCACTCCAGCATTTAAATTTGAATAAATCTTTTGTATCTCGTACCGTGATACTGCTGGTAGCGTAGGCCGAAGTCAAGGAAGTGGACGGAAGAAAACGGCAACATTACCAGAAATGGTTCGAAAAGTAAAGAAGTGACTTGAAATTACAGAAAGTGCAAGAACTTACACCGCAACAGAAAGAAAATAGACTCAAAAGAACTAAAGAATTGCTTCGCTTGGCCGAAAGTGGCGGTGGTGAACTGCCGAATTTGGTTTTCTCCGATGAGAAAACGGTCAGCTGAAAATGTGCAGCTCAAGCGCCAGCCGTGGTGATGGTGTAGGCCGCCATAACAGCCGATGTACGCTCTCCGTTTGTATTAGTCAACCGTGGCATCAGAATAAATGCCGAATATTATTGCGAAAATATTCTGGAGGATGTTTTAAAGCCTTGGGCACGCAAAAATTTTGGCCGCAGACCTTGGACATTCCAACAGGATTCATCACCATAATAAAATAATAAAAAAAGTAATGGTAAGTATGGAATATGAAGAGAACCGGATGCTTATTTCGGATTTTATAATCGTTTTGGTGATTCAAAATTTTGACCCTTTGTGGGGAAGTACCAGAAGAAATGGTCCAATCTCTACCATCTTTAAAACAGATGTTGAGTTTATAGAAATATTGAAATGTACTAAGTCTGGGAGGAATCGGACGTTTATTTCGCGTCTTATGAGCTTAATGAATATTCAAAATATTCATCGCTAGATCGACTCCAATTTATAAAATAATAATATTAATTAGTACAAAAAACATGTAAAATTAAATACATGGTTACTGCCTTTTTAACATGTCTCCGTCTGAACATGCATTATCATCACCTGTTACAGGGATGCCAGACTGTTAGTGAATTTGACATTTGGCAAGACAGTTATTTTGTTTGTGTTTCCATTATTCATGCCTGCCAGACCGGCAACTCAGCACCAGATGATTTATGATGACGTCTGTTCTGTCAGAAAACAATCCACATCACAGAAAAAACTAAAACTATTCTTTTGACTTAATTTGGTCTTTTTAAAAATTAAAATAAATAATAATGTTTGTGTACTAAAGTTGTGCAGTGTTGTGTGTAACAATAAAACACAGGATATCCATAAGACGAGCTAGTACGAGGAGGTGACTAAAAACTTGCAATTGCACCGCAACCGGAGGAAAGGCAAATCAAAGAAATTACTGTGTGAAAACTGACAACTAAGCTCATTTGGGCAAGTGGGCAAGAACAAAATGGGCATCAACGTTAGCAGACAAACCGATTTGGCCAGCAATGTACTGCTGCAACAGTTTGTGGGTCGCAGCCACATTGCACCCGATGATGAGTTTTGGGCCAAGTTATTAAACTACAACATAACAATGCCGGAGAATACACAGGATCAATTGAATCTGGACTCAAGGCTGGAATCTTTGTGTCAATCGTTTATTAGCAATAATCTAAAGACTGGAAATTTTGGTTCATTGATAACGGTGTTTTTGACCAAAACTTCGGAATTGCTATCACTTTCCGATCAGGAGAGTAATATGCACATATGGCAGACATTCAATGCATTGTTTATAATACGTTCATTGGTGAAGTATATCACAGAGACTGGTTCAGAATTTCAATTGTTGCAACATTTTGAGGCAATGCCAAATGAGGAGTTCCTTAAGGCCGAGGAAGAAGCGGCAGCAGCCAGTGGATCACATCCCGAGAGTACAGCTATTGCTGTGGAGGCGACTGAAAATGATGATCCCTCGGCCACATTGAAGGCAGCAGCTGCTGCAGCCGCTGTTATGGTGGATGGTTCAAAGTTTGAAACATTTATAGATGCAATTTTCAATTTGATAGTTGTGATTCCGGTCAAGTAAGTATTTGTCTTTACGATACTGGAATATTTTTATAACTTCCCTCTATTTACAGAGAATTCACATATCACTTACATTTGGAAGCTGTCAACACACTGATTACCCTGTTGTCGGTACATCTATTCACCCAACAGCCTACTGAGAAATCCATTATCTTCCGCACGGTATACAAGTGCCAGCATGCCAATGTTTTAATGTCTGCCTTATTACACTTCGTTGCCCGTCTGGTGGAGGTGCCACAGACAATGTTCGGTTCGTCGTCGGCTGGTTCCTTTGTTTTTGGCATTGCCGAGTCCTTGCTATCGATATTTAGTTTCCGCAAACAACAGGATGTCTTGAGTACCCAACACTCAACCGGTGCTGAACTATCGCAGCAATTTCGACTCCACTATCCTTTGGCCAATCAAAGTCTTCTGTTAATTTTGATACTCACCAATCACTGTACCACGAAGGAGAATTCATATCGTTCATCGTTGTTCGGCTGTGCCGACTCCAAAGATGTTGCCAGCAAGGATGGTGCCACATTTCACATTGACTTCGGTGCAGTTTACGAGACTCTGTGTCGCATTGTGACTATCGATCAGGCAACGTTGTTGCTGTATTTGCTATTGCATCGTAATGAACGTTTCTATCGTTTCGTTATGGCTCAGCAAGACTTAGAAAAATTGGTCACACCAATTCTACAGACATTGTATCATGCTCCGGACAGTACATCTCATCATATTTATATGTCATTGATTGTCTTGTTGATATTGAGCGAAGATGATGGTTTCAATAAGAATGTACATAATATTGTGAGTATATGCCTTTAAGATCTTATTAGGACATTATAGGAAAAATGTCAAATCAAAAAAAATCCTTAAGAAGATCTTTTGAGTATAGAATAGGTTTGAAAGCTTTCCTATACATGAAAGGTATTTGAAAGGCCTCTGTTTATTATGCCCTTAAGAATATTTCCTAGAATATATATTTCCGGAATATCTTTCGTGTATGATCTTCTGAAGATCTATCTACAAATAGCCTTTAGGAATATGTATCGTTGTTTCGTTCCGTTCAAATTTATTCTGTGCATAGATGGCCTATAGGCAATCTTGTATGTATTGAATGTGTTCAATGTATAAATATATAGAAAACCTTTGTGTGGAATATCAACCATGCATAGAATATTTTAAATGGTCTTCTGCGTATAAAGTATCTTTAGAACATTTTTTGTGTATAGAGAACCATCCGGATGTATTCTTTGTGAAGGGAACCTTTGAAGTCATTCTGTACATAGAAGACGTTGTATTTATTCAAGTTGCGTGGAAGGCCTTTCCAATCAATGATTCTCATACTTATTTTGTCAAAAGATCTATGGACGTTATTCAATTTATAGGAGACCATCTATGAATCGAAGACCTTGAGAAGACTCTCTGCGTGGAAGATCTTTCGAAGACCAATTAATAAAGAATCTTTTTGAGGTCTTTTCAATCACTGATCCTAACATATATTGCCAAAAGAAAACATTATTTATATTTCCTTTATTAATCCTTTTGTATGTTTTTCCTCTTTCAGATGCTTAAAAACATAACCTGGTATACGGAGAGAACAATTTCTGAAATCTCCTTGGGTGGCCTATTAATCCTGGTAGTTATACGTACCATACAATATAACATGTTGAAAATGCGTGATAAATATCTACATACAAACTGCTTGGCTGCCTTGGCGAATATGTCGGGACAATTTAGGAATCTTCATCCATATGTGGCGCAACGTTTAATATCACTCTTCGAAACATTGGCCAAGAAACACACACGTCTTGATGCTCAGCTCAAAGAGCCAGTTAATAGTGCCGTTTTTGTAAATGTTTCCACAACACCTGAAGATATGTTGCAAGACTTGACCGTGCTGGAAGAGGTTTTACGTATGGTTTTGGAAATACTAAACTCTTGCCTCTCCAATCAACTGGTGTATTGTCCGAATTTGGTGTATACTTTGTTGTACAAACGAAGTGTCTTTGAGGGCTTTCGGTCACATCATGCTTTTCAGGATATAATACAAAATATTGATATGGTAAAGATGCATTTTGGATTTATGAAATATTTAATGATCTCAAAAATTATTTTCTTAGGTGGTGGGCTTCTTTTCATCACGTTTACAGCGCGTCCAAGAACAGAGAGGGGAATTGGGTGTCAATGAAGTATTCGAAGTTATTTCCAAGGGAGCCAGTCAATGGTCTAGCGATCGTTTAAGGGTAAGTTATGGGAAACACTTATAAATGTTAATAATAATCTCATTCTTCATGTTGGTTTTAGAAATTCCCCGATTTGAAATTCAAATATGTCGAAGAAGATGCCCCCGAAGAGTTTTTCATTCCATATGTGTGGACATTAGTGTGTAAATACGGTTGTGTTCACTTTAGTTCGGAAAGCATCAAGGGCGTGACCACCGAAATATCTTGCTAATACACTGTAGATTTTGAAACATTTTTATAATAAGATGCATAGAGTGGCGGCGTATAACACAATAGGCAACCCCACAAAAAACCCCCATTTTTTCACATATTTAAATGATTATATTTCAAAAAACAAAGCTTCTGCAAATGTTTGTATAATTTTTATGTTAAATATTTCTTCTTTTCCGTGTTCTTATCGAAATGTTATAACGATGTGTAGCTTCAACTTGCGTTAATGTCTTTGTCCCTTTTTTGAACACAATTTTTGCCATAACCGTAATTGAAACTCCTCTTTTTTTCCTTTGAAAGAGAAAAACAAACAAACAAAACACTCCCCTATACAATAAATACTTATATACATTATATAACCTATATATTATATAATTTGATTTGAATATATGTAAATGTAATTTAAGATTGTATTTAGCAAAGCGTAATCAAACAAACAACCTTTAAAACTAACAAAAAAATAATAGCAATTTCGAAATCTTAAACCAAATCTGTCCACACCTTTTAATTGTTGAAACAAAAATTATAGGCCCGAACAGAATAATTGAAACACAATACAAAATATATATGGTATTAAACATGGTTTGTAAATTACACACACACATACACTATACACAATCTTATTATTCTAATTATTATAAATTAAAAGAAATAATATGAAAAAAAATAGTGAAAACCATGTTTCCAACAAAAAAGATTATTAGAAGTAATGCGAAAAAAAAAACAAATTATGAACGTCTCTAGGAATAATTTGCAATAAAAATAATAATAATAAAAAAGATTGACTATAAATATATATACATAGATATGAACAATTGTAAATGTGTCTTATTATTATGTATACAAGCATAGTAGTTCTCTTATTTATATAGTACTAATTTCGACATTATTATTTTCCAGGTTACTGAGCTAGAATTAACTCTTATGAACCCAAGAAACCATGCCAGTTTTGGTGATTAGCTTTGGCCTTACAATCTGGTAGATCGCAAGCCGAGAGTGACAGCGTCTTTCTACTTAGTTTGTGGTGAGCGATGGTACAATTTTCATCCGAAACACAAAGTCATTGAAAACGTTCGGCCGTGATGGAATCACAATTATTTTTATACCCTACACCACTTAGTGGTAAGGGTATTTTGTCTTTGTTTATTTGTTTGTAACATGGAGAAGGAAACGAGATAGACCCATAGTTCCTTTTGGTGATCGGCATAAAATGACATTTTGTGTCGATTTATGCATGTCCGTCCGTCCGTCAAATTTGGTGAAAATCGGTTCAGATATAGCTATGGCTCCCATATATGTGTTTCGAACATGTATTTCGGATGTGTTTCATCCGATTTTGGTGTTTAAGCCCCTTACATTCATTATATGCACTCCACAAGACTGACATTTAGCACAAGATATCAGATACAGCCTAGCAATTCATGGATCAGATTTGGATATGGCTCCCATATATATCTTCATCCGATTTTAGGTTTCTTTTGCATCAAATGGCTAATATCAGTCCAAATGGTATGAATCTTGGCACTTCCGACCGAATTTAGTATAGAAATAAGTACTTCAAATTTGGTGGAAATCGGTTCAGATTTGGGTATAGCTCCCATATATAACTTCGGTCGATTTCGGGTTAATTGAGCACCAAATGACCAATATCAGCCCAAACAGCCTGAAGTTTGGCACATTCGGCCAATGTTAGCCTAGGAGCAAATACATCAAAAATCAGTTCAGATATAGCTATATATCCCTTATATATATGTGTCATCCGATCTGGCGTTTAAGTCCCGAATAATATTTGGTACCAGATATCAGATATAGCCAAGAAATAGCTGTTTTCAGTTGTACAAAGATCGATTCAGATTTGGATATAGCTCCCATATCATTATTCGATTTCACGTTTATTGTGCACCAAATGGCTAATATTAGTCCAAATGAATTTTCGCACTTCAACCGAATTTAGCAAATTCGCTCCCATATGTTTCATCCGATTTGGTGTTTAAATTACCAGCTTTCGGAATATGCACTCTACCATAATCGTATTTTGTACCAGATATCTCATAGAGCTCAGAAATGCCCAATATAAATCATTCTTTTACGAGAGCTCTACTAAATATGCATGGTGGTGTAGGGTATATAGTCGGCCCCGCTTGACTTTTGAGATTTCCTTGCTGGTTAAACAGTGCATTGCAAATGCACTTTGGCTCATGGTAGTCGAGTTAATTAATCTAGGTAAGTATGCCGACAAAGGCGAGTCGTACAGACAGATTTATCTAAGACCCCAGTAGCGCAGCCTCTTTAGACTTTATCCTCCCCGTCACCGATCATCGTATGGTAATGCTCTGAGTCGATGCCCGTCCGCCCGTCCGCCCGTCCGCCTGTCCATGTTTTTTTGTTAACAGTAATATCAGCCCAATACCATACCCAAATGGGATGGAATTTGGCACTCACCACCAAATTGAGCCTAGAAGCCCCCATATAATGGTACCTCCCTATTTTCGGTATTTTGGTGATTTGGGCGACATTGTTCACCGGAATTGTTTCAAATTTGGTATTTGAAGTTTGTAATAGATACCACAGCCTAAGACATAAAATTGTCTGAGCAGGTCCACGTCTTCGTATATCCACCATATAACGGTACCCCCCGATATTCGGTGTTTTGATGATTTTAGCGACATTCTTCACCGCAATTGTTTCAAATTTGGTATTTGAAGTTCGTAATGGATACTACAGCCTATGACAAAAATTGTCTGTGCAGGTCCGCGTTTTGGTTTAGCCCCCATATAACGGAACCTCCCGATATTCGGTATTTTGATGATTTTAGCGACATTATACAGCGGAGTTGTTTCAAATTTGGTATTTGAAATTCGTAATGGATACTACAGCCTATGACAGACAAATTGGGTGTGCAGGCCCACTTTTGGTATAGTCAAAAATCAATATAGAGTCTCTTGCAGCAGGACAAGGTGCGGATTACAAAGACAAACCAGAAATCTATGTCAAATTAAAGTCATACTGGGCACGGATTGATGTCATTTGTCCAGGGTGTCGTAAAGTCCCACATATCATGTAAGATCATTCTCGTCTCCATACAGAAGGTCCTTTGACCGATGATCTATCCAGAAAACCATTTGAGTAGTCTTTTACTTATAGAAGGATAATTAATGTTTTCCAAATGTAAAAGGTGGATTAACCGGTCTAGTATGTAGAAGCACAATAGGATGGTATTTTACATAAAGAAGTCCATTTATGTGATCTCTCGTGCACGAATGACCAATTGAAGCGTCGAACATTTCTCAGACATTCTGGAAAACAAAACAATGGATCCATATGGCCAGTGAGTCACCCATTGAAAAACCAAACTATTTATGTTTGACGACGTAAGTCCATAAAATTATGCAAATAGTTTCTATTTGATAAAAAAAGAAGAAAAAAACATTTTATCAATGAATTTGAATAAATTGTTGTTGTTGTTTTTGTGGTTGCATATCGCGTGAATAGTAGTAGTATTCGTATAGCAGTTGTTATTGTTGTCGCCGTGTTTTTATTTTTGCTAAATGACATAATTAACACCTTTTTATTGAGCTTAACGAATAAATCTCGATCTTTTGTATATGCCAAACGATATCGATACAACTGTACAAATAACGATCAAATTAAGTCAAATATGTCAGAGATTTATTTATATACCTATGTACGTACATATGTCTGTCTGTATGAATGAAATCGAAAATTAGTCGCAAAATGATGAATGCGCCTTTGGGCTACAAAAAAATTTCGCTACGAGGTTTCGAATGGCAAAAGAGATAAACATGTGAGTTGTTGTTTTTGTCTTCGTTTTTTGCGCTATATTTGTTTATTAGATTGCTATTATTTAAACAAATGATTAACAGCATAAAAACACACAGATGTCTAAAGATGTTGTTAACCTAGACCTAACTAAGTTATTTGCCAAAAAAACAAATAGGGTATGTAAATGCTGTATTAAAAAGAAAGATGTATTGATTCCAGGAATAGTTTTTAATGCATTAGATCTATTTTTAGTAATGGCCTTTAAATATATACAGGGTGAGATAAAAAAAAAACTGCAACAAAGTCAAACGCCATAATTTTGTTATTTTTTTCTAAATTTTATTAAATGAAAGCAAATAGTATCAAATTTTAAGAATAAGTTTAGATTTGTTTAAATTGGTCAACTTTGGCACGAATTATGGCCTTCAAACGGCCAATGAAACCGTCCACCACTGCCCGAATGTTGCTCTGCGGTATTTTGGCCCATTCCCGGCGAAGCGCTTGCTTGAGATTATCGACATTTTGGTATTTTTTAGTGGCAACCTTGCTTTCCAAAATACTCCAGACACAATAGTCCAACAGATTGATATCCGGAGTTTTTGGTGGCCATTGTGCGCTGGAAATGAAGCGAGGAACATCATTTTGTAAACATTCTTTGGAGGCGCGTGCTGAGTGCGATGGTGCTGAGTCCTGTTGGAATGCAACCTCCAGAATATTTTCCCGATAATATTTTACATTTATTCTGATGCCACGGTCGATCAATACGAGCGTAGAGCGACCATCGGCTGTTATGACGGCCCACACTGTCACCATGGCTGGCGCTTCAGTTATGAGTTCTGGTGGCCAACCGAAGGCGCACATTTTCAGCTAACCTCCTTGGCAAGTAAACACGATAATTTAGTTTGTTTGAGTTCTGGTGGCCAACCGAAGGTGCACATTTTCAGCTGACCTCTTTGGCAAGTAAACACGATCTTTTTATTTGTTTACAAACTGCTGGACAACGAATGTTTTCTCATCGGATAAACCCAAATTCGACAGTTCAAAACTTTTGGCAAAGCGAAGCAACTCTTTAGCTCTTTTGAGTCTATTTTTTTCTGTTGCGGTGAAGGTTTTGCATTTATTGAAATTTCAATGGCTTTACCCCGAGCTCATTTTTCAGTATTTGCCGAATGGAATATTGCGATATATTCAGCTCACGAGCCATTTTTCGGCCACTGCTGATGTTGCTGTTTTCTTCTGTCCACTTCCTTGACGTCGGGCTACGCTACAAGTATCACGGTAACGAGCGATGGCACGAGACACAAAAGATTTATTCACATATAAATGCTGGAGTGCTCTAACGATTGCCTCTTGTGGTTTTCCAGCCAAATATAAAGATATCACACTATCACGCTTGAATTCCATCACGAATAACTTTGT